TGTTAACGTTCATGTGAACTTGCGGCAGCAGTTGATGCTACGGGATGTTAACGTTCATGTGGGATGTTAACGATGATGCTGATGATGATGATGTGATGATGATGTGATGATGATGTGATGATGATGATGATGATGATGATGATGATGATGACCCTAATGAAACTTGTTAATTCCGCGACTAAATTTCGTCACGAAATGGACAAGTTTTACCAACCTAATTCAGGTTTACGCGGTTCCAAGAGCGGGGACGAGGCTATATATACATACACACACACATGTACAGAAGACAATTCAATGCATCTCATGCACGCATTTGGGCGTTTCTGAAAGTCATGTGTGGCCCTGGAAGGGCCCTCCCCACCTAGAGACAAGGTCAGAATCTGATAAATCAAAGCAGTTTATATATATAAATATATATATATATATCTTTATGGATAATACAAGTTTGTCCATTAACATCCATTAACATCCATTAACTATAATTGAAGTTGGTTATCACCTTTACTATCCTTTACTCATAACGGATGTTAGTGGGGTCTAAAAAAACCAGAGAGAGCTGGATGGCCTCACCATCTCCGAATATATAGACGGTCAGCCATCCACCAAGCATGTATGGACTACAGGTCCCAATAAGTGCCCTCTTGTAGGGAAGTCACTAGTGGCTAAACCATGGGAAAACTATAGGAAAACCATAGGAAAATGGTGGTTTAATGGGATTTAATGGATGATTACCCTCTGGTAATGACTAACATAGCTATTGAACATGGCCATTTATAGTGGATTTTCCCATTAAAAATGGGGATTTTCCATGGCTATGTTAGTTTACCAGAGGGTATATAAAACATATACAATATATCTATACATGCACATATTCATGTCATTTCATGTCATTTCATCTCCCTGTTATCACCCTATCTATTTATCGATCCATCCATTCATCCATCTATCTAATTCTATTCGAATCTAATCTATCTATTTTTATGTAATTCTCTCTGTCTCTCTCTCTATCCTAATATGTCTATCTGATTGAATCTAATTAATTCAAGCCAATTTAACCCAGTCCTTCTATTATCTATCGAACCTGGTGCTGCCACCAGCATGGTGTGCATGTTCCATAGGAACTCCTGCGGAATGAAGTTCGCGGACTGTCTGAAACGACCATCCATCAACTTTCATGTGACAATTTTGCCGAAATCAAACATTCATTTGTGACAGTGGTGCTAAGCTACCCCAGCCTTCTTGGTTCATGTTCATTTTATATGTTTTCAATGTTTTTTCAGGCCTTTCAGCATCTTTGAGAATGATGACAATGAGGTGATTTTTCTCCAGAAGGGTTGGAATTGCTATAGTGGCAAGATGTGGTTGGTGCTGTTGTTTTGTCGTTCCCACGTCACAGTGAATCTTGAATACCCTGCAATCAAGGTGTCTCTTAGGTTAGCCAACGTCTTTCCATGGCAAAACAAAAATGAACCACTCACTTAGACTTAGCAAGTCGAGGTTGACCTCAAGACCATATGGCACAGATGGGCTACGAATGTGAAGTGGTCCAATTTTGGGGCTACTCTGTGGTACACCCACATATCGATCATGGTTTCCTCAGGACAATGATCGATCAATCTGCTGCAAGGTACATAGATTGGAGCCCCACCCACTGGATAATTATCATGTTCTCTATAAAAATTGCCGGGGGTATAAACCTCATCAGACACAGCCATATCCCAATGTTGGGGGGTCCCTTGGCTCAGTCAGGTATCCTACGGGTGCCCCCGGCGACTCCTCAATGTTGGCCGATTGCTTGGTCGGCTGCATCGCGGAAAGGTTTCAAGCGCTCGCTCGTGGCGAACAGTCGGGCGCAAGAACAAAGAGAAGACAAGTGATGTGTCACGATGTGTCACCAAAAGCTGGTTTTTCATCTGACTTTAGGTTCAGTGGGGGGATGTGCCTCTGATCGAAAAACTCCGCTATGATGACGTTGATTTTCCTCACGCTTCATGACCCGCGGAAGGAGCACTTTTCAATGACTTCAAGGACTTCAATGGGAGAAATTTCGAAGCGACATTTGGAAACTGCGGATCGCACAAAACTGCGGTTTCTCCGCACCGGTGTCAGACGGCGTGGTTCTGAGCCAATGGCACACCACGGAGACTTTCGCCTGGATCCCAAACCTTCCAATGACCTTTGAGATAGGTCACCCTTGGGTTTATTTAACCACGAATGTTGTTTTGTTTTTGTATCTGACAAGTAACTGGAAGATGACGGGATCTTGTATCATATCTTACATTCATGGCTACCTCGGTTTGACCTGCCAGGCGCTTTGGGAAAATGATCCTGTTCTAATTTGGGGATGGGTCAAAACCAATTATTATGCCCATATTTTGGGGGGAATAACCATTCATTACCCCGCTATTTCAGGGTACGGGCCTAGAGGATGGCTAGGGTACTAGGGTTTTGGCCACAACCAGTTCTCAATGTTTGGATGTCCACGTTTGGCTCTCATATTCTCAAGGCACATCCCAGGTACCCGTTGCTTCCCGAAAAGAGTCTGGAGTCTGGACCTCTGAGCGCAGCCTTCTCAAAGGCCCCATGTGGTGCTCCATGGATGTCCATGGTCACACAATAGGAATCCTTACGGTGAATACATGAAATTATATAAATCCCTATCATGCTCTTAAATGGCCATTAAATGGCCATTAAGACATGGGGACATGATAAATCATAATAAAATATGATCATTATAAGAAATATTGGGAATGTTTTCGAGCAAACCATCGAGGATACCAGAAAAAAACCCTAGTCCCATGGAGACCTCGAGCCCCAGGGATCCGAATCCATGGTTGGAATTTTACAAGAAAAAAAACATGGTGTTTACTAGGTCAAGGTCGCGAAACAAACCAAGAAACACATATTATAGCTGAATCACCTTTGGAAATCAAAGGTGGCCTGCTGGAAGATCCATCATTTAGCAGTATTTAGCGATGTTCGATGATTTTCCCAGCTATAAGCCTCCATTGATAGATGATTTTCCCATGAAAACCTCCATTTATAAACCATTTGTCCATTAAAATCGCCATTTAGAATCATTTACAGTGGATTTTCCCATTAAAATTCAACACATCCATACAAGTAGATGATTTCCCATCTAAAGCTCACATGCTGAGTATGTCTTTCAACCTGCATCGCCTTGAAGAACCTTCGAAAACACACGCCGCGTAGATTTTTCACCGAAAACCACACAGGCGGTGGAGTTGTGCCAGCCGGATGGTGTCCGTCAGGTCTCATCCGCAGCGCCTTTTTTTTGGGACAAACCCGAAGTCAAGTTGAGTATAGGGTTTTTTCAAGGATTTAAGTTGGGTATACACAGAAAATAGGAGGCTTCACTGTGATAAATTACCATCTGGTTATTTCACATAGCCATGGAAAATCCCAACCAGAAATGGAGGTTTAGTTCGCTGGGAAAATCATCTATTTCTATGGGCCATTTTCCATGGCAAACTGTTAGTCAGAACCAGAGGGTACTACTGAAAACCATTTGCTGTTTGCCGAACGTTTCCGTCCAAGGCTGGACGCCGACTCAGATTGACTCAGTGTGCGCCTGCGATGGCACAGCGGCCGATCTGGGCAAGTTTGCTATATGTACTTATATAAGGAATGATTACCTTGGCTGTTAAGTTCGCCAAGTTATTTCATTGCCATGATTGCCATGCAATGATTCATTGAATTTCAGAAACCTCTGCTGTAAGTTCATTGGCCATTTTGGATCATTTTGGTGATGTTTAAAGAAATCTTTTGCGGTGCGGGTCGCAGAATTTGCCCATACTCACGGACCTGCGAAACTGAAACTCTGTTCATTCTCATTAAACCCTCCATTTATAGTGGATTTTGGGATTTTCCCCTTAAAATTTTCGTTTTCTGTAAGGATTTCCCCATCTTTTTCCAGCACAAGCTGATCGCAGTACCACATGGCAGGCGCCTTGCCACATCCGATCCAGGGAAGTTTGGGCCAGGATTGGACGGCTCAAACCACCACAGCTCTCAACCTCACCTGGCAAGGAGTCAAGATTGGTGATACCCTCTGGTTATGTCAAAATAGCTATGGAAAATCACAATTTTTAATGGGAAAATCCACTATAAATGGCCATTTTCAATAGCTATGTTAGTTTACCAGAGGATAGAGGAGGCAATCCATGGTATACCAGTTTCCCCAGCACAACATGCTGAGAATTTAAGAGGAGTTTTGTTGTGGCTACTATCTGGTTTCTGAATGGCGAAAGCCGAAAGCGCCATGCATTTCTTTGATGTCTTAGTCTTTTTGAGGTTGTTTGAGCGTATTTGACCATAGAACTTTTGGGTCAATCAATTGGACTGTCCCAACTTATATCCATTCATATCTCATATGTATATATAATGAAATATTATATAGTGTATCAGTCAATATAATATACTTATAAGATCCCCTATGGATCCAAGTCCCTCTTCTCAGGTACTTAAGGCCCACAATCATACTCCAAATAAATACTGCCGACGGTACGGCTGGATCCCTTCGGGATCATAGAGAAGAAGGTACGGCAAACCCCCAGTCATCATACCCCAAAACACTTCCCGAGAAGGTATAACTGGATCCATAGGGATACTGTATGATATTACCATATTAATGGGATATTTCATGGGTATTATATGGTATTATACATATATCCTATTAATGTGTATGTATACCATATAATCCCATTCATATCCCATGGTGACTTGGTGATTTACCCCGAAGCCATCCGGGGAACCCTCCAAGACGTCGTGGATGGGTGGCGGCATACTGCGGGGCCACCAGTTCCAATGCTGCGCAATGAGCCTTGGCAGCGATCCATGCGGCTCTTTGGGGATGATTCTCCTTGCCATGCTTGCGGTCACACCATGAGGTCACATTTTAATTTGTCCATATATATATATATTTATGTATTTAAATATATATATATATATACATATATATATATAATGATTATGGAACTAGAATCATTAATGATCTACTATAGTATATTTTCACATTTTTCTAGTTGATTATTGAATCGATGACCTACTATGAATATCTATGGATAGTTAACTTTTCACCGTATGGGTAGCTTAATGAACCATAGAAAGCGAACTATCCGTATTCTTTCTTCCATTCAGCAGGTGAATATGGAGGTTTCCTTAAGTAGGGTTACCCCTAAATCATCCATTTATAGATGGATTTTCCATGAAATACACCATCCATTTGGGGTAACCCAAATTTTCATCAACTCCTGGATATCTATGAATATGTATTTCTGGTTGGTGATTTCAACCATCTTGAAACATATTGATCAATGGGAAGGATTATCCCATATATTATGGAAAATAAAACATGTTCCAAACCACCAACCAGTTATTGTTTCCAACTTTCCATTACTAATGAAACCATCAACCAAATGACCATTGGTTGTATTCCCGTTATGTCGTTATGTCCCCAGAATATCATGGATATATCATGGATATATCATGGATATGGAACTTCCACCCCCACGTCTTTCGCTTTGGCACATCAAGGCAGGGACCAAGACCGTGCGGACCACGAAGGTATCCAGCAGGACACTGGTGATGATCCTCGAGACAGCGCGAATCTAACTGGTTGGTGGAGATATGTCTGGGAGAAATGCAATGTTCAATAGTGGTTATAACAATAATAGTGGTTATAATAACAATAATAGTGGTTATAATAACAATAACTAACCCATGTTCATAACCAATGTTCATTCAATAGTTTAACCATCATAATAATAGTGGTTATAATAACAATCATAGTGGTTACATGATGGTTATATGATGGGATTATAACATATTATTTATACTATATTTCTGGGAGAAATGCCATGTTCATAATATCAAAAAATAGTGGTTATAATAACAATAACTAACCCATGTTCATAACCAATGTTCATTGAATAGTTTAACCATCATAATAATAGTGGTTATAATAACAATCATAGTGGTTACATGATGGTTATATGATGGGATTATAACATATTATTTATACTATATTTCTGGGAGAAATGCAATGTTCATAATATCAAAATAGTGGTTATAATAACAATAACTAACCAATGTTCATTATAACCCATGTTCATTGAATAGTTTAACCATCATAATAATAGTGGTTATAATAACAATCATAGTCAGTATATGATGGGATTAGAACATATTATATATATATATATGGTTGGTGGTGCAATACCCATCTTGAAAAATGATGGAGTTCGTCAATGGGAAGGATGACATCCCATATATGAAATGGAAAAAATATTTAAAACCCCCAACCATATATATATATGTATATATATATTTACTAATATTGATGATAACAACAATAATGAAATAATGATACTACTAATCAAACTAATAGTAATAATAGTAGCACTAATAACAGTACTACTAATAGTAATAGTATTATTATTACATATATATATATATATATATTTACACTACATAACATATAGTATGTATAATACATAACCTATATATATATATAATACAAAACCTATACATATGCATTATATATGCAATAATATATACAGTACACACATATATATATACAGGTCATGATCTAGTTAGCTTATATGAGCACTATGGTTATGGACTATATACGGAAGTGGGCAGCCAACAAGATATGCCAATGTTGATTGATGCGCTGCAATGGGGTGTACTCTGACGCCCTTTCCATTGTGAACCTTAGATTTTCAACCACCAAAATATGAGGTTTTGAATCACTGGATGGAACGGGGGTGCCCTATTTCCAAAGAAACTGATATGATGGGATGGTTCCAACTAAAACTGATCATGACCACACAATGGAGAGTTCAGCAATCAATGAGTGACCAACTGAACCATTACAGTAATCAATGACAGGCAAATCCCCAACAACTGGAACGTATTTAATAATATGATTGTGTCAAAGATTACTTGGCAAATCCTGGCAAATATGTGGGGATTGATAGATTCTGCTGCCATGCCTCTACGGGTGTGGGCTGAGAGTGTAACCTAAATGTTGATGAACTAAAACTAGAATAACTAGAAATGACTGCAAGCAATCTGTGTTTGTCGAGACCTTAGTCTTGATCAAGAACACACATACGAAGAGCATCGAAGAGCAATCTTGTGGGCTTTTCTCAGCAACTCCTTACCATCAACCACCAGTGATGCAATCTTGGGGGTGGTCATATCTCATCGACGCTGCAGCCCAGCAACAAGACCCCGAACTGCTGGAAGAAGATCTTGTCGGAAAAGATCAGACCTGACCACAACATGGATCATTTTACTGATGTTCATGGATTTCTTTTGCCCAAAATTCTTGGGATTCCGAGAGTTTTGTACTCTATCTGAAGTTTGCCCAGCAAAATCTATATGAGGATCCTACGGATATCCATCCCCATTGTGGTGAAAAACAACCAGAAAGTTTGTTGCCGGTGACAGGAATCACTATCACCTGCATCTTGCCGGGATTGAGTGATTGAAGTAATTATTGACCCAGGATGACCCAGGCATATTCTTAAACAAAGTATGTCTGTTACAAAAGAATACAATATCTTCAGAAGACATCTCAGCACCAATTGCAATCCCATACTTATTCGTGTGTGGTAGCCATACCAGGTCCTTCTTGCTTAATTACGAAACAGGAAAGCAGCACAGATAAAGCCCCCAGCACTGAAAAAAACATCTCGTCTTAGGGATCCGGTCACTGGTTAGAAGGACCATAAATAATCCAATGATAGTTGGATTGATGGAAAAAATCGCATGTTTTCCCAGTTTGGCGGATAGGGAAAAAGCTATCCCGGTCTCCCGGGGAAACTCTGGATGGAATCCCCAAAAGATCCCCAAAGACCAGGTTTGTTTAAACATTAAGCCACTCAACAAGTAATAACCAGGTAGTATAACTGGTTGGTGGCTTCAAGTAACCCCTCTGAAAAATCATGGACTGAGTAACAGTTGGGATGATGAAATTCCCAAAATATATATATGGAAAGTCATAAAAATCCATGGTTCCAAACCACCAACCAGATAAGGTCGTATAAACCCACATGAACCCAATACCCAAGCAGTGGTATGAAACCAGGTCTCACCTGAGAACGCCAGGGACATGATGAGGCCGGCGCCAGAGATCACATCTCCGGTTTTCAGCACACCTGGCGGGGCAATTTTGAAAAGGCTTAGATTATAGCTGTACTGCAGCTACACCCAAGAGCACAGCATAATCCCCCAAAAAAAAATATCTATTGTATATATATATATATATAGTTCTACTTATAATGTATATATATATATATATATATACGTAATTATACATATATTAATTAGTCAGAAAATAGACCGCGCAGTGGGACGAAAGCGACGAATACTGTCCAGTCTGAGATCAGATTCGATACTCAACTAGAGATGAAAGATCACCAAAATCTGTACAGTTGAGATCTTCTGTAGAAAGATCTTATCAACTCATATTTGTTTATCGTACACTATCTTCTCCATAAATAAAACAGATCTGTACGATAAACAAATATATTATATGTTTTTCCCATTGATTGCTGAGTTTCAGCTGAGTAATTCAGCAGCGTGCTGGCACCAGCAATGTCGTTATTGCTCAGGAGATTATTCGCCAAAATCTCACGTCATCTTTGCCCAACGACTGCCAGACCTGCTACACATATTCATGGTGCAAATATAAAATGATATCAAATGTATCAATGATTCCATGAAGTCACAATCGTTCAGGTCTTAATTATCTAATCATCTAGTATCATCTAATCTGGTTAACAAGAAACTCCCGACAAATTCATTTCCCTTAAAATATTGGTACTTTCCCATCCCTTTTCTATTGGCAGCAACGGCGCCTCGGAAAATGCTGGCGCGGTCTGAGTAGCGCTGCACTCGAAACCTGAGAGGATCTGATCCAGCAAGGTTGGATTCATGATAGATCATAACCGTGGCAATGAGAAATCCTCTCTTTTTATGGAGGTTAGCTGGGAACATCTACTCCAAAGCTGATTCATCTGGCATCATCTGGTACCCGGATGGTACCCCCAAATAGGAATGTTTATGGCATGTTGATTCCCCCAGATATGGTGATCCGTCCCCTTATTGAACACAGAATTTCTACAGTATCCATCTTTGCCATGTCAGTAAAATTCCAGGGGAGACCACATATTGACGCAGCTTGGTGATTTCAAGCCTTCAAAAGAAGAATTTCCAAGAAATGATGGGAAAATCATAGGATCACATGGGAAAATCCACTATCAATAGAGATCTTTTGATGCGAAAATCATCCCATTCTACATCCTCCAAGACATGAATGGCTCCACAAACTCAACTCTGATCATCGCTCTGATCCTTCGAAATTCAATGATGGGAAAGTCATATTTCAAAGCTTCGGGCTTCATCTCAAGATGAATTTTAGGGCCAACACCATATTTCTGGGTAAATTATAATATTTCACTACCCTGATTTGTTCGGCCATTTGGGGATGATTTCCCTATACATTCACCATGATTCCCAGGCTTCGGTCGAACAGGGCTCGGTCGTGATGAAATTTTCCCAGTAATATTTTGCCGGGTGAACATACATATCACACATCTATCATTTCCCGGCACCATATGGTGGCGTTCCAACCAGCTGCTCAGCTGGGCCCAAAAAAACAAAACACCAGGGCACTCCACGATGCGGCTCACCTTGGGCTGGGATCAATCCAAGAGATTCAGAAGGAAGATTCTCACTGAAAAATATGCGGTAATTCATATGGACTTATGTGGAATTATATGGAATTTTTATGGGGATGGGTCAAAACCCTGGTACCTAGTGAACCCCAAAATAGCTGGTAAATGGATGTTCATCCCACTAAAAATGTATCTATAGGTATTGATCCGTTCCCATATGGGTAATAACATGGACTATTTTACACCACTTTATACCACGTATACTCATATTTGGACATATTTGGACGGACTATGATTTGGGTCCATAGGGAAAACGAGTAGTTCATCTAAAATGGACCTTTTTCTTCATCCATTTTAACGATAGCTTTCTGTTGAATTACCGGAGAGTTTCTATATGTTTCTGAAGATGTTCTGCTGCCACTGGCAGATGTGGGGTATCCAAGAATTTTAAGGATCCATGATGGAACTTCGTGACACCACCAAGCGAGTCCTGGTGGTAACACATCTCTAAAATATCTACTAAATGATCATCTCAAATTTAACAACACGTTTTTTTTAACCATTTTTAGAGATACTCATATATCACTAAAATATCTAAGTGGACATTGTCCGCAACATGCCGTTGCGGACACGGCGCCAGGAAGATATCATAGTCCAAGCCTAAGGCAATCGCGATGCCAGTGACCAAGGGAATGACCTGCTGATCGCTTCCGCTCCGAAAAGAGCGGTCCACACGGTGAAATTCACGTGACCGGTCTGGTCATTCCTTACAGTTTGTTATGGAAAATGGCCCACTTATAGCACCTATAGATACTTATAGTTGATTTAACCATTGAAGAAATTGTGATTTTCAACAGTTATATTGGTTCACCAGAGGGTAATGTTCAATAAAATACTGAAACAAATTGAATAAGTTCGTTTATAACATGTTGAAACAGTTTATGACCCCATCTACTAATATAGTTCTATCCCACCCCATCCGCAGTTAACCAAATTATTTTCGTCGACGTTGTTATCTACCGTGTATGGATCAAACATAAAACCACATGGTTCAGAACACGCGTGCGATGGTCAAAACACAGGATTATTATGGGTTAATGGGGTATGGCCATTCATGTCATATCTTCTAATGAGTATATAGCGACAGACTTGTACTTAGAACATACTTTGGAAAACATGAAAACCCGCACGGCTGGGATGTTCTAAGTAGGGGATTAAAATCGGTACTTAGAACATACCCAAAACCTATACTTAGAACATTTCGAAACCTATACTTAGAACATCCCAGTGGGGAACCAATGGGAACCATATATATATATATATATGTATATATATATATATACACCAGCACATTCCAAGTGTCCTTGATTGAGTTTTGGAATCCATGTTTCATAAGTGTCCTTTATTGAAGGGTACTTAACGATCCTAAAATGATATCGGAAGAAAACATGCCCCAACCCTGGGTTCCATCTCCCGAGAGCAGCAGCCTCTGCCACCTCGCGGAAAAGCCCAGCATCTTTTTGGCGGAGGACAGCGGAGGTGCCAACGGCATGTTTGCAATTAATTTCCAAGTGACCCATGCCCTCCAAGAGGGAAAAGTATCAACATGTCAAAAATATTCCAAAGATGGTAGGTGGCCTGGTTGCACTGGTTTTGAGGGGATCACTCATTCTCTTGCCGTAGCCAGCGACAACAAACATAGGCGCTATAACGCTCTAAAACTTGGTGTCCCATCTGGACTGGGTGAGAATGCATCGCGAGCTGCTTTAAGCGGCCCACGCAATCTTCATCCATGTAGCATGTCACCCGTAATGGGTTGACATACTTTGCCATGTCGTAGCATATGTGGTCGAGCCTGAGCAAGCACATGATTGCAACTGTCAAACCAGCAGGAAATCTCATGCTACCATTGTTTCCTTCAAGTTTCTGCCTGAAAACAAGGTCACGAGTCACGTCATAATTACGGTCCCGCTGTTTTTGCGAGTTCTCAACATGCTCCATGCATAAAATCGACAGGGTTTCTGTTTTCTCTTTGAAAAACCATCATCCTTTTTCGATGGTATTTGCATGACTTTGAGGCTATGAATTCGCAGTTCTACCCATGTTTAGCATCCATGTGCAACACACGCGTTTGAAAAACAACGGATTTGTTTTGTCTCAGCACGTGGAGGCCAAGTCAGCCAGCTTCTTCAACGTGTTTGCGTTACCCCAACCCCCACGACGAGCAGCGTAACATCATCAGCGTAACATGAACGTTAACATCCCACCCCACCCCACCTCAACCCCCACGAGCAGCGTAACATCATCAGCGTAACATGAACGTTAACATCCCACCCCACCCCACCCCAACCCCCACGAGCAGCGTCACTTCATCAGCGTAACATGAACGTTAACATCCCACCCACCCCACCACAACCCCACGATCAGTGTCACATCATCAGCGTAACATGAACGTTAACTCCCACCCCCCCCCCACCCCAACCCCCACGAGCAGCGTCACATCATCAGCGTAACATGAGAATGTTAACATCCCACCTCACCCCACCCAAACCCCCACGAGCATCGTAACATCACAGCGTAACATGAACGTTAACATCCCACCCCACCCCACCCCATGTTTTTGCTCAAAGCAAGCATATTCCACGGGGCCGTACCTTGGGCGTGAGCGAAAACAACTCAAGCCATTGAGCCAAGCAACTTGTGGCCCTTAGGCCGGACCTTCCAAAGAAGTTTGCCCGCATTGATCGCTTCCAATGCTAAACCTTGAAATGACCAACAAATTTGCACCGGTTTGCATATAAGAGAACAAATCTCATGGAAATCATGGGAGCTGCATCTGTATACTAACATGGTCTTGGCCATGTGGCTGTTCAAAGCTGAGTGGTAAAGAAAATTGGCCTTCTGGAGTCCTGCCAAGTTCTCCGGTGTCAGCGCAATGCTGTTGGCAGGGCCAGACATATACTCTCTCATTGCAGTGAGGTTCACAAAGACTGCTGCGCGAAGCCTAGGCTGGTGCATGCTCACGTTGGAGGGAGAGATAGCAAAAGAAGAACAAAGCAGACAGAGAGGAAATGCCAACCAGAGAGGAAAACAACGAATTCGGTTTTGAACATGCAAACCAGACACGCTGCATGTTCATCATTGGGCGCACGCGCGGCCACAGAAACGCAAATACCACGTAGCCACTTTGCCATCACCACTGCTTCCTCACGTCAAGTCAAATGTGCTGGAATGGCACAAAAACTTTGCCGATATATGCTGTGCACTGTTCAGCTCTTGTGCTAGTATTGCCCAAGGTTCAGCACCATTCATGTGCTTCTGTGCCAGAGTTGGATAAGATTTGTTGCCATTCGGGAAAAGATGCTTCCTGAGGACGGCAGGAGCAAGTGATCACTAGCCAGGGTTCCAGCAGTAGCACCTAGTTTCAAAATGCTGTCAAGGTGCGAGCAAAAAATCTGTGCCCTGTTGCCCAAGCTAAGTGAAGACAACTTGCACTGCAAGGTTTCCGTGCTTCATAGCGCAAGTTAAGCCAAAGGTACGAACTTTCTCAGCCCTGCAAGCCTTCACAAAGAGGATATGGGCCCGTCGGAGTTTCTCATCAAGGTTCCCCAGACCAAAGATGCCTTCATGGCAAAGTTCCAAGAGCGCTGAAGCTGATGCCTCCGGTACCAACGTCAGATCAACCACATGTAACCAGTCGTGGCATAGCACCTGGATGCCCCAGCCAGGCAACTGCACCCACGTATGCACTCCTGCAATTTCTTCGATGAACGTTGGGGTATCCATGAGGGTTTGCCGGTGAGGTGCGGTTACACAGTGCAGCGTGTACAGCAATGGTCCAGTCTCCGAAGAAGCTTTGCACACCATGCAAATGTTGCGAGAGACAGCTGAGTTGCTGCTTCGGTATGTTTTTTGGACATATTTTTCATCTCCCTTGTGGATTGCAAGAACAGCTCTGTATCTCCCCATTATGAGCCCACGGCGCCCATGATCTTTATATGGAGCATATGGTCGGCCAAACGGGTCCAGGTCCAAGTAGTGGCCCAATTGGGCTTCAAGCAGGGACCAACAAACCCATGTGTCCAATGTTGCCAGAGAATCTTCAGCTGCTCGTGCTTCATCAAACACATAGCAAACAAAGCGGGTGTCCCACATAGACCCTTGCGTAACCACACTGCCTACCGTTGTGATCATGAAGGACCTTCGGCGGTGACTGTCAGCCCCATCTCCATGGATCATCAAGGGTATCACCAGTGACAGATCAATGTCCTGACAGACACCAGAAACTCTAGGCACAAACCAGTTCAGGTTGGCAGCAACTATTCGTAGGCAAACAACTGCACACCCCCTGAAACTTCAATCCTAGCTGCTGGGAGAGAAAGGACTGGGTGACATTTGAACCACTCCGTGTGCCTGACCGAATTCCAAAATCGCTCTATTTCCTGAGGTCAAGCGCAGCAAATCAAACGAACCGGGATAAAATTTGACCAAGTGATTGGCCAACGAGTGTGGTCACTTTTGAGACCAAAGGGCACCATCTTCTCCAATGAACTTTTTCCGGAAGAGCTCGAAGCTGTAGTTGTACATGTGCCCCAGCCTAAAACAGATTGACGCCAGGCAAAGAACTGCAGACCGTAGAGAGCCTGCTTGGATGCAGGCAAGAGGCACATCTGACACGAGGAACATGTGCCAAACTCCGAGGTGCCGGGGCACCTCTTGGCTCATGTCCAAAAGCACAAGCTGGATCCTCGGAGCCACATGCAATCCCTGGTGCAATACTCAAAATAAAGTTCACACGGTGAAGTTTTGTTGGCATTGAAAAGCCCAGTTACTCTACAGGGTTTGGAAGCATCTTCCGCCATGGCTGCTGGTGCAGCCACCGCCAGAATGCTCGAGGGTAGTTCTCCGGCGAGCCAGCACTTACATCGACAAGGTTGCGAAGGTTTCTCCTCAGCAGCCAATGGCAAAAGCCAGTGCAATTCACACAGGCTTGGAAAGATACTTTTTGGAATGTGTGTGAGATCATGAAGGCACAGGCTTGCAAAATTTAGGGCATTTGCTCATCCACGAACAGAATCTATGCCGGTGGCCCCACTCTGTGAAACTGGACGACAGAGGAGACGCGAAGATAAGACACACGAATGTGATGATGAATGGTGATGGTGGTGGTGATGATGATGTATGAATGATAGCTGATGTAGGTGAAATGTCAGAATTCCATACGTAGTTTGACGCCTTTTTGTGAAAGGCTAGTATCGGGAGATACTTCGCCGGCAATCTCTTCCGCAAAATGCTGAATAACGCCACCAGAGCCGCAATATTTACCTAAGTGCACCAGTGATGGCACAGTTTATACACTGCAAGTGTTGCTCACTGCAGCAGCCCGGAAAAATACAGCTAGCTGAGCTTCTGGAATCTGATTCTGAATTTGCGACTGGAAAATAATGTCACACAACTTGGAAATGGCGCAGTGCAACCAGGCCACTACCTTGGAAACCTCTAGAATTTCCTCCACTATGTCCATAACACAGTGACGGGTTTCTGGTTCAAGTCTTCAAGTCTCATTTGTAACAAAACATGACCATATATAACATCATTAGTCCCCCAAGAAGTAGATTTCAGGTTGGGAATATTTGAAGAAAGTGTATTTTTCTCATGTTCAAAAAAGACCGCGTGGTTTCTGAAGTTGGTTTCCCACTCAAATTTGAAATTTTCATGGCCCATGGCCACTGCCGATGAAATTGAACCAGATCGCGGCAAATCAAACCATAGGCCCATAATGCACACATTGTTTGGCATGCATTCGCACAAAGTTCGCATTCACACTTTGGTTGGAATCATTTTTGTTTTTTGAGTCCCACAAGTGCAAATTGCAAAGGGCTCCGAGTGGCAACTGTTGGTCAAACAACACCGGCCACACAGGCTCGAGAGATCTGTTGGTCACAGACCGTCTGGCGCCCCAGACTGGGCCACATGTGGGCCCAAATCAAATTGATCACCATGACCAGGTTTTCGCAACCTTCATCCCTAGTAATTCCTGGGCGTAACATTCTGGTGTATGGTAATATACATAGCAAAGTTATATAAACTGGTTATCAAACACACAGCCAGAAGAAAGACAGAGACAGGCAGGGACCGTACATCTAGACACACAGACACACAGACAGACAGACAGACAGACAGACAGACAAACAGACAGAGAGAGAGAGAGAGGGGGGGAAGAGAGAGAGAGAGAGAGAGAGAAAGGCAGACAGGGAGAGAGAGAGGGAGAGGGAGATCTATACAGACAGAGACAAAGACAAAGACCGAGACAAACAGGGACGGTACATCACTGGGTTTGGGGTGCAATCTATAAATAGTTATGAGTACACCATGGTCTCATTGACAACCATATAATATACTAGCTTTAGTTCCAAGATCACGCAGGCTAACTATGTGTTATTGCAGTATGTTTTCTTTTTCAATGATGTGTCACGATGAAAAACCATACATCCTGTATAAAACACTGGGTGACCAATAGAACAATGTAGAAATGCTCTGGCAGGTAAATGTTTGAACGATAACCCAAACACTGGCACCTGGAAAATGGTGACCCACCCCTACGCAGATTGGCTCCCTTCGGAGTCCGATTCAACGGGAGCTGCTTCTGCTACTGCAGCTTTCCTAGGCTTGTTCAGCCCCTGTGATCTCTTCTCAGCTGAAACGCGCCGTTTGGCGTCCTTAAGATCATTCACAACATCTTGGCATCCTGTTTTCTCAGCGTTGATGAAATCTACCAGTTTCACGGCGTCTACATCAGACGCTGCAACCTTCAGCTCCTCTTCAATTTTATCCAGCATGTTTACCAACGGCTTCTCGTAGGTCTCAAGCGATCTCACCTCAGTGAGATTGTTGCTTTTAAGCCCCAGGTCTGGGTTAAGAAAATAGACAAAAGTGGGTGGATACCAAATACATTCTATAGGGGTACCCTGTTTGTCTGAAGTCCATCGGTTGGTGGCCTTTGATCTGGGCATGTATCCGTAAACAGTAAACACGATGTTGGTGACACTGTGACATGGAACCTTATCCAGCCCTCAGGGTCACCAAGGCTTGATTGTAGTATGAACCAGTTTTGCTAAGATCTTTCAGGTAAGGATAACAGGATAATTGTTTCGGTCTGAATTTCTGAAGAGTTTCCAACTCACTGCAATTGCGAACACCCAAGTTCTTGATTTCCGCAATGCACAACGGGACGTCTTTCTGGAGGTTCTTAACCCTTAGGCCCAAGGCTGACATGGTTGACGGATAAATAAAGAGGACATGATCCCCAAGTCAACATCGCATAACACATGGTCAAATCGGGGGAACTGACAAATAAAAAGACAGCCAACTTGTTATGCACAGTTAGGGTTCTTTTTCTGCAAAGTTTTCAAATCTCGCACTGCCTCCTCCTCTGGTGTTTTCTGTTTTTTCACCTTTTTGGATTTCAGTGCACCGGTTTTGAGATCCAGTCTCGTAAGGTTAGAGGAACCAAGTTCCCCAAGCTGCTTTTTGAGCAAAGCCTTGCCAGCTTCATCTTTTACCCGTCCAGAAAGGTGCACCTTAGCCAGGTGGATCCCAAATATAACCAATTGATGATGCCCATTGAATTTGAGTCCCACCAGTGGTAATTTCATGTTGGGAAGCTGGCTAGTTTATGCGCATTTGTTTCTTGTGTATCAAAGGCTCCAACCATTACGGGGGTATCATTCCAACCGATTCCAATCATTACACACATACAGTTCCCTATTAGTTAATTGGTTCTTGTGTAGTTTGGAGTTCTACCCATTAGGAATATTCCAACCAGTACCAATATATAGTCCCTCTTTCGATGATGACATTATGTTGCACTGGTTTCTTGTATATCAACTGGTCCAACCATAGTGAAGATATCATTCCAACCATTTCAAGGATATAGTCACATAGTCCCTCACTAATTTAATTATCTCTTCAATGTGTTCAATAAGAGCAGCATTTCTTGGTAACACCCAGAAAGCAATTGAATTCCAAAACCTAACCGAAGCACTGAACTAGACGAAGTGTTTCCACTTGTGGAGTCTTCGATGACTTCCTTCAAGACTTTGAATAAGCGCGCTTTGGGTTGATTCGGAGCCTGTCGGCAATCAGGAAAAGACCCGTGATCGAGCTGTGGCAGACAAGTCTCTCATCCACCAGGTGCCTGAGGGTGAGGTGTTCCGACCTGTCCTGAATATCCAGCGGCGGTCTCAATAGTGTGGGGGTTGTTTTTGGGGAACATAAAGATGCAACATGGACTATGTTCACATATGAACTGAGCTAAGTGTCCCTTGGCACAGTTCGCTGATGAACTCTTTCGCATCTTTGCCCTTACCGAACATCTTCTCAAGCTGAAAAAGGGTCACCTGAAACATTCCAACAGAGGAGGTGTCTATCATGAAGGACATCAGATGGGATATCATTCTGAGCATAGACAATAGGTAAGCCCATGGCAGTGACAAATCTGTCAGTTCGTAACTCTTGGACCCACCGAACGTATCGTTCCTCGATCTCCAAGTCTCCCGTGTTGGGATTGGCCATCCATGCCTTGAGCATGTTGAACCTCAGGAGCACACGTTTGGTCACGTTGGATACGGGAATGACCTCACCAAAGGGTATTCGGTTTTGGGGTGTACTGATATAGGATATATGGTGGCCAGGTAGGAACAAAATAGAATTAATAATTAATATCACATTGGATGGTTGGGGGCCTTAAATTTGACAAGGTAAATAATCCTTTACACAAAATGATTACAGATAAGGGGCCGCTCTGCGTCCGATGCCAAGGAAAATTTGGCCACCAAAGCTGGATTGGCATCTTTAATGATAGCCCTTCTCAGGGCACTGTACTGACGTTTACGTTCCGAAGGATCCATATCAGATGGCTTCGACATCGATGCCAGCTCTTGTTTCTGTTCTTCAGTTAGCTCTTTCACCCGGGCTTTTTTGCCAGTAGATGGCTCATCATCAGCCTCAACAAAGATAAGTCATTGATGTCGAAATGGTGTCAAAGTTCGATAAAAGTTGATTGATTGCTGACTATAGGCTATAGGTGTCAAACCCTGTTCAAACTGAAGCATGTTATTCGGGTTTCCCTGCCTGGGAAAAGGACAAGGATCTTGCCTTGAGTGGTGTGCATGGTGACGACAAGAGATCCAAGGAAGCCATTGTGGTTGTCTTCTCCAACTTTGACAACGGGTCCTGACAAGGTCACCCCCAAAAACACGTGACATATGAAACTGATGGGGAATAGAAACCCAAGTACGTAAGGTCAATCAACCCAACATTTCCAATCAATTGATGTGGGGCCGGCCCCAAATGAATAGCTTCGAAGTGATGTGAAAATGTATATTAGATGGCCACTGTAAGGAGTGGTTTTGAAAATTATTGAACCCAAAAACGTTAATCACGATTGCCCGGGATACATTATATTCCCAGCCCGCTCCTTAGCATCTTTTCCTTTCTCTTGATTCTTCTGCTCTTTCGCCTTCAGCACCCTTTCTGCATCTTCCTTTGCTGCTGCCTTCGCTGCCTTCCTTGCCTTCTTCTCTGCCTTTTGCGCTGCCTTCTTTTCTGCCTTCTTTGCATCTTTGTCGTTGGGTGGCACAAGTGCCAACCGAGACCCTTGTGGTTTCTCCTGCATTGCTTCTGCCTTCTTCGAAGCTGTCTCCTCAACAGCAGACTTTGTTGCTTTCTCATCTGCTGGTGTCTTCACTTTATCCTCCTTCTCCTCTGTCTTATTCTGCTTTCTCTGTTTGGTTTTCTTCTCAACCTTGTCCTCACTAGGCTTTTCCTCCACTTGTTCCTCAGCCTTCTTGGATGCTGCCTCCTCCACAGCATCCGTTGTGGTCTTCTCATCTGCTGGAGTCTCTTTCTTCTCCTTCTTTTGCTTCTTCTCTCTCTTCGCCTCACTCTCGTCAACCTTCTCGGATGCACGATTTGTGCCACTCACCTCTGACTTTTCCTTGACTGCCTCTGTCTCCTCAGTTTTGTCTTTCTTCTGCTTCTTCGTCTTCTCATTGCCACTTTGACCATCCTTCTTGCCTTTGACCTCATCCTCAGCCTTCTTCGATGCTGCCTCCTCAACAGCCGCCTCTGTTGCTTTCTCATCTGCTGGTGTCTTCACCTTATCCTCCTTCTCCTCTGTCTTTTCCTGCTTTCTCTTTTTGGTCTTCTTCTCAACCTTGTCCTCACTAGGCTTTTCCTCTACCTTTTCCTCAACCTTCTTGGATGCCGCCTCCTCCACAGCAACCGTTGTGGTCTTCTCATCTGCTGGAGTCTCTTTCTTCTCCTTCTTTTGCTTCTTCTCTCTCTTCGCCGAACTCTCGTCAACCTTCTCGGATGCACGATTTGTGCCACTCACCTCTGACTTTTCCTTGACTGCCTTTGTCTCCTCAGTCTTGTCTTTCTTCTGCTTCTTCGTCTTCTCATTGCCACTTTGGCCATCCTTCTTGCCTTTGACCTCATCCTCAGCCTTCTTCGATGCTGCCTCCTCATCAGCAGCCTTTGTTGCTTTCTCATCTGCTGGTGTCTTCACCTTATCATCCTTCTCCTCTGTCTTATCCTGCTTTCTCTTTTTGGTCGTCTTCTCAACCTTGTCCTCACTAGGCTTTTCCTCCACTATTTCCTCAGTCTTCTTGGATGCCGCCTCCTCTACAGCAACCTTTGTGGTCTTCTCATCTGCTGGAGTCTCTTTCTGCTCCTTCTTTTGCTTCTTCTCTTTCTTTGCCTTTCTTGCACCATTTGTGCCACTCGCCTCTGACGTTGCCTTGACTGCCTTTGTCTCCTCAGTCTCGTCTTTCTTCTGCTTCGTCGTCTTCTTCTCATTGCCACTTTGACCATCCTTCTTGCCTTTGACCTCATCCTCAGCCTTCTTCGATGCTGCCTCCTCAACAGCCGCCTCTGTTGCTTTCTCATCTGCTGGTGTCTTCACCTTATCCTCCTTCTCCTCTGTCTTTTCCTGCTTTCTCTTTTTGGTCTTCTTCTCAACCTTTTCCTCACTAGGCTTTTCCTCTACCTTTTCCTCAGCCTTCTTGGATGCCGCCTGCTCAACAGCACCCTTTGTTGCTTTCTCACGTACTGCTCTCTCAGAAGCTTTTCGATCTGCATCTTTTCTGAGTGCTTCACCTGCTCGGATCAGTGATTCCGCTTCTTTTGTTCTTCTTTCATCTCCTTCAAAGCAGCTTCTCGCTTCCTTTCGAACTCTTCAAGGTTTTTGTTGGGGAGGATACCTTGTTTCAACTTCAGTAGGCGTTTGCCTTCTTCAACCTTCCCAGGGGATACTGGCACCAAGGAAGCCATTTGGACATAATTGGCGAATATACTTCACAAATGGTGTTTATTGCAATGTTGGTCAGATGCAGGCTCAGGCCTTTCCCATCCCCAAGTATGCACCAGCTACGTCACACGGAACCTTCGAGCCTAGATCTAAATATGATTAGTCATGGCGAATGAAAAAAAAACTTCGGAATGGGTGATTTGTGACACGCGAATGACACGCAGTGACCCCTAGTGACACGCGCTAAGTGCCCTTAATTGGTAATGTACTTAGCCTAAGTGTCCTTGATTGAAGGGCACTTGAGGGCACCCCCGACACGCGAATGACACGCAGTGACACGCATGTCCGGGAGTGATTTCTCCCCAATGTGCCACTCGGAGGTGATTCTGGATTCGTGGGTGGTTCGACACGGCTGCTCGGAATTCCAAAGCCGCTCGGAATTCCAGTGGGCAATGATGGATGGTTTCGCTCACAACCCGAAAACAATCTTTTTTTGTTGATAATCATTCATTACATAGATTGGGCGTTTGTATATTATATATATCAGTATCTTGGGATAGTGTTTGATTATCCAAACCCATGAACAATTACAACCACATCAATAGTGTCTTTTTCGCTCCCACCTCCGGATCATCATGAGACAATGTTTCCATTCCATATGGGACATCGTGATAATATCACAATGCCGAAAAAAGCTTCAAAGACCAAATATGTTTTTTTCCAAACTGGCGTGTCCACGAATATTGCCATCCATTGGCATCCAGTGGTTGAGGGTCTCCAATGGTCTCTTGGGGAATCAAAATGGTGTCACCCAAACAGCTTTTGGGGCCTAGATGGAATGTTTTCGGGTTTGAAACTAGAGACGCCTCCACCAACATCTCTTTCTATTCACAATTAAATCATCTAGTGAACCCAGGGTGTCTTCCCCTTGGTAGCAATCCAAATCCACATTTGTTTCACGGGGCCGGGAAGATCGGGCCGGAACCAGGGCCGCAATTGCTAGACCAAAGTCAAGTGGGTACTCAGCACTTTTGCGCAAGGCATCTTTGTTTCCAGCCTGAGGATGACTGGAAAAGTTCACAGGGTGTACCGGAAAAGTTCACAGGGTGCAGCCATTGGGATTCTGTAGATCGTTGGTGAATGTTGGTTTCATGCGAACCTCATAGTAATTTTCCTCAGTAGATATCCTTGACCACAATGTTACAATGGAAAGCGACACTGGTAATCATATCGTGGTTTTTGGATGCACCTCATCTATATGGTTGACCATTGGCAGTTAATCAAACTGAACGAATTTTCCCTTGAATGGGGAAAAAATAATGGGGGTTCCAACCTCTTAAGGGCTCTCAAACTAAAACCATCATTGTTATTGAAACCTCCATTTAATTAGATATCATTTCCGCATCATTGCACGCAGATATGAAGCATGCCAGCAAGAAACCACCCGCTTCTTACCATCCTTTCCCACGGTTCTCTTCACCAAAGATACGGCATTATGTGTCCTGGCGTGAGCACAGTGGCCACCCCAAGGACCCACAGTGAGTTGGTTGATCATCACCCAACGCAAGTTAATCAATATGGAGATACCGAAACAAATTCACTCTGTTTATACATATGGTGCAGACCCATCATCTCCCCGGCCTTTCCAAGGCCAGCTTCAGCTGTTTGATGGACAAGGTGCGTTTGAGCTGGTGCATCATCGGGAGGGTACCAACTAATCTCAGCTGGCAAGGTGATGGGTAGGAATTCCGAACCTGTGACAATAGCAAAGGCACCCACAATTGGATATAGAAATTCACAACGCGTGGAATCACATGGGATCCTCAGTTCTCAAAGGTTTATGGGGTAAGATGGGTTCTCAATGGTTTTCACCAGTCACATGCACCACCATGTGCATACAAGGAGCGCTGTGTATTTGAGCGTAGGAGCCCCGTAGGAACCCATTGGAAACGCCACTCGCCTGTCTGCGAAGGCATTGGTGGAATTCAAAGACCCTACTCTTCATAAGTGCCTTTTGCATGTCAACATGTCAGAACACCGAAACGAAAAGTGTTAAACAATGCACATGTCAAGAATGGAAATCTTGGCACCTGGCTTTCACCCATGCCAAAAACCGTTGGAGTGGGGCATATTGAAACATCACCTTGGACAGTCCGTTTCGACCGAACACATCATATCAAACATATGGGCATTTCTCAAAATGGTGGATGCTCGAAAGGGTTCGAAATTCAGCCCTTTAGAGGTGTTTTCGAGCATCCCCCATTTTGAGAAATAACCATATATCAACAACCATTGGTCAAGCTTGTTTACCTGTCCAAAAATCTAGGGTCATGACTGAAGTCAATGGTTGTTCGATGATAAAATGCACACCGCGAAGATAAGCATAGTACAACCTTGGATGGTGTAGGTTCGAAGATACTGTAACATTTGCAACAAACAAAACTGGCTTCTATTCCTTTGTTTGAACCGTGGTTCAGCTGGGCTACACATATGTCATACGTAGCACAAAGATGTTTGCCAGGATCGTTTCTCTGCGGTCTCCACCACCCGGATTCATCCATGATCTCGAATGTGTTGATGAAGATCTCAGCGTAATGTGGTCTGAATACTATGGATCATCGGTTTACCCTGACTGGACCCCCGCAATAGTACCACAATCATTTCCGGAGTCTTGTTACACATATACACATTGTTGTTTGGCTATCCATTGAAATGTTGTTAGGCGACCAAGCCACAAGAACACCCATGAGGAACAGGGAGGTGCCCAAAAGAGCAACCCACCAGGCTTGCAATTACGAACCTTAGCCATGTCTTTAGAATCATCAAGCTATCAAGAATCATCAAGCTTCTGATTGTGCCATTAGCTCGGAAACTGGTTGAAACAAAATTCAACTTGTTTTTCTTGGGGGTGGCTTTAGTCTAACAGGTTGCGATTCCCTTGATAAACCTTAAACAAAACAGGTCAACATATATAGAACCAAACACACTATCATCAAATGCCACTCACGAGATGTTCTCTTACTCCTTGGGTTTCCTTACCCCCAAAAAAACATTTTTTTTTGTTGGGTTCGCGCGCCGAGGAAGTTTAAAGTTTAGGCACCTCAAAAAAAATAAAGTTTAGGCACTCAATGAGGTAGTTCTATTGTAAAGGATGGCCGATGAATGTATATTGATGTGGTTTCCATTGAATAGACACAATATCCATCAATATCCCGAAAACACTGGGGAACCCACTGCGGCAAGCACTGCCATGAAGCCAACTGTCCGCATAAAGTTGTGATTGCCAGAGTAGCGAATCTAGGCCAGCACAGAGGGAACTCTTCAACATGGGTTAAGACTCTTTAAAACCAAATTTTAGCAGGTGGCCTGTTTTTACCGCTTCGGGGTCGACACAGAATAAAGAAGGGCCGCTTGTTGAAATTGCATTTTAACACATCTTATGGTATGGTCCCCACATGGATCGATGTGATCACTACCTCGGCACGGGTTTGATTTCTGATTGTTTGGTCAGGATATACATGTGACAAAAAAAGAGTGCCTCTGCTACAGATTTTCCCAGTGGCATCCCAAGTAACATCGAAGGCCTTGGTTCGAAGACCACATTGTTGAAGTCCTCGGGATAAATTGCCCTCTCCAGCACATACTTCTACCTGAGTTTTCCGGATGGCAGGGATGATGATCAATGTTGGATAGTGGTGCATTGCGTACCCTATTTCGTTGCATCTTCTGATCATAGCCCTAGTTGTCACCATTGGGATCCATTGGGGATATATCCTATACAATCCAAGGGACAGCATCCAGAGCTTCATGATCAGGAGGCACGGGAATTTGCGATAGGAATAACAAGATAAGCACAAGGTTTCGAGGATTCATGTCGGGCCCTACCAGTGTCAAACCCTCTGACAGGTCCTTGAGCCATCCCCTAAAGAAGCTTAAGTGAGCCAACAATCTTCCATGCAGGCATTGGCACCTTGAGCTTCAGCAAGTTCACGGAGGCCAAACATATTTCTCGCTGGGCGGTGGCTGACGCAATCATCCACCAATCTATCCCCACAGAACCATAGCCAAGGATCTCACAGTGCCCAACATGACTTGGACACCTCTATGGACACCTCTATGGACACCTCTATGATGAACAAAATGTTACTGAACCGACTGTTCAACAATTGACTTGTGATTAGTTAATCCAAGCCAAACACTGCAACCCTGGCCCCCAAGGTGTAATTATGACACCATGTTTTCAGGTATCACCTAAATTTGAAGGTCGCTTTTCACACGCCCATCCGCGATGTGTAGAATTGTTTTTGAATTAGGAACTGTTGTGAACCAAAAAGTCACGATCACCGAAGACAACTGATGGTTGATTGGAAGGGGTGTTGCTTCGACTTTTTTTTGCCATTGGCCTTTGCCTTGGCAGCACGTTTGCGGGGACGTTTGCCCGAAGATCCATCACCGTTATCATCACCAGTTGTTGCATTTCCATCATTGGCACGTCGTTCAGCCATGAGCCTTAGATAAGATAGTATACATATACATGGTGATCACATTGTGATTACATTGCTTAGCATGTCTCTCTACAATGTTTGTGGGCTATCTCTTTAGAAGCTGTTTTGCATTTTATGCCCTGATCTTTTGGATTTTTTTGTCCCTATCTTTTGGGAATTTTTGTCCCTATCTTTGGGATTTTTTGTCCTTATCTTTTGGGTTTTTTTGTCCCTATCTTTTGTTTTTTTTTGGTCACTATCTTTTGGAAATTTTGTCCCCATCTCTTGGGAATTTTTGTCCCTATCTTTTTGGGAATTTTTGTCCCTATCTTTTGGGAATTTTTGTCCCTATCTTTTGGATTTTTTTGTCCCTATCTTTTGGGAATGTTTGTCCCTATCTTTTGCGATTTGTTGCTCCTATCTTTTGGGATTTTTTGCTCCTATCTTTTGGGAATGTGTGTCCCTATCTTTTGGGAATTTTTGTCCCTATCTTTGAGATTTGTTTGTCCCTATCTTTTTGGAATTTTTGTCCCTATCTTTTTGGGAATTTTTGCCCCTATCTTTTGGGAATTTTCGCCCCTATCTTTTGTAATTTTTTGTTCCTATCTTTTGGGAATGTTTGTCCCTATCTTTTGAGAAATTTTGCCCCTATCTTTTGGGATTTTTTGTCCCTACCTTTTGGGAATTTGTGTCCCTATCTTTTGGGAATTGTTGTCCCTATCTTTTGGGAAGTTCTATCTTTTGGGAAGTTTTGTCCCTATCTTTTGGGAGTTTCTGATCCCACTTTTGATTTTACAATTTGCGTTTCCCGAGTCTTGTTACATATTTCAGGAACAATAATTACCCAAATTTGGGGACAATAATTCCCCAAACTTGGGGACAAAAATTGCCAAACTCAGGCCGAACTTGGGGACAATAATTCCCCAAACTTGGGGATAATAATTACCAAACTTAGTCCAAACTTAGTGACCATAATTACCCAAACTTGGACAAAATAGCTCTAAAGAAAACGTGGTAGAGCGCCATGCTAATACATTGTGATCACATTGTGTTACTGTTACCAACAGCGCATGGTGACATGGTAAGTGATGATGTTGGATATCCACCAAGCAGCTTAGCTTTCGCAGCAGCAACGCGTGCTTCGGGATCTTTGAAACCTTCGTCTTTGGCCGCTTTCCTTGGGCACGGACAGAATGACTACTTTGGTCCTGTTGGCTTGGCACCCCCAGAAAAGCGAGTAAAAGTGCCAAAAAGGAACCTCAAAACTAATTCAGGTTTATCACCTTTGCACCAATCACCAACCAAATGGAATGCGCATAAAAATACAATAACCAATTTTAAATTTATACAAGTGTCAAGGTGTATCGAAGGCGTCCCTGGGGGTTCACATAGACATAATAGATGTCACCCTTATGCTTCCCTTGTTGCCGGCGTCGGAGCTGAACCTTCCACTTGTCCTGCATTTGCAAGGTTTCCATGATCTCATATTGCCTTAGTTACAACATGAAAACCAAACATACATGAACGTTGGAAAAAACCCTGCATCAGACCTAACTTACACAAAGGTCATGCTTGTGCAAACATGGTACGCCCTTGGTTCTTTATCTTTCTTTGCGCTGGCCAGCTCCAATTGTTGAGCTGGAGTTGGCACTGACCGATTTGCTTTTTGTAGTGCTACTTGCTGGCAACGAGCTATAGTAGGGTGATACTTAGACATCGCAAAACCATTGAAGTCCTCGAAAACGATTTGGTCAACCACAGTCGACTTAGCCTCCGAGGGAAGCAGCACCCATGCCGTTTATGTTTTGCTTTTCATACCCATAGGATGGTAGAATACCCATAGGATGTTGTATGGTGTTTACCACCCAGAGGATTTTTTACTTTTAGTACCCCCAGGATGATGTATGGCGTTCCATACCCATAGGATGGTGTTTAATATCAACAGTGTGATTTAAAATACCCATGGGATAACCACCCAACATGTAGTAACAATAGGCATCATCAAATATTAGCCAAGTGCGCAAACAAAGCCCACGGGGCATAAATAAAAACATGTTAAGGCATGGGGGAGGCGCAATATGTCAGCCGCTCATCACCACCCTCATTAATGGGATGGTGCAACTGGTCAGGCCTCCTCCTCTGTCTTCTTTCCGCTGGGCTTTTCATAGGCTCTTGGTGCAGGGGGTGCAGATGGATCCGCCAAACCTCAGAAGACAATGGATTGGGTTGACCAGATGAATCCAACGGTTGGGGTCCATACCAATGTAACAACAACATTATTATTAGTTCCATATTATGAATTCGGAAAACTAGATTCTGTTCGGTGATACCTGCTGGGTTGGGCGAACACCCCCCATGCAACCAAATAACATGTCTTTGTGCGGAGTCGCCGCATGGGCGTAGGAACTTCAGCAACCCCCAAATCTCCTGTGGACTTGTCTTTATGTTTCTTGACGATCGCCTCCAAAGCACAAAGGGGCCCAACCCAATGGAAGTTGTCAATGGTAAGTACCAAAAGGATGAAACAACATTGAAATATGTGAACAGGCACACAGAAAAACATTGTTGATGCAAATGCAGATCACTGGGAGGGTAGATTGTTTCTTCAGCATCAACTTGGCCAATCGCACTGCATAGAGAGAAGGGACGTTCTCGTTGATGGGGGTTGATAGTTTGGTAATAGACCATCTCTTCAAGCTAGACTTTGGATACTCCTCTCTTATTCTGATCCCGTCCTCTGCTTTCAATTCCTTTTCGTCTTCTCCACTGCTAGACTCGTCCTCACACTCTGCCTTGGCTTCTCCTTTGTCCTCTCCACTGCTGCTAGACTCATCCTCACTTTCAGATGTAGCTTTCGAGCTGGTAGATGAGCTGGTAGACGAGCTGGGAGACAAAGTGCCGCTCTCTTTGGCCTTTTTTCCTTTCTTTGGACTATCCTGGTCCCCCTCATTCGCGTCACAGAAACCCTTCCTTTTGTTGTCCACCTTTTGCTCCTTTCGGACCTTGCTCGGGGGGGCCTTGTCACTATCTCCAGTTCGTTCTCTCTTATTGTTGGGTGCCTCTACACCTTTTGCATCGTCCTTCTCATCATGTGCATCTTTCTTCCCAACTTGCGACGATGCATCTTCCATTGTCTTCATCGTTGTCCTCTCCTCATCTTCGCTCTCATCATCCTCACTTTCATCCGAGTTTTCAACTTTGGACGCTTCCATGGTTTTTTCTGCCGTGGCCTTCTCATCCTCCTCCTCATCTTCGCTCTCATCCTCACTTTCGTCCTTGCTTTCGACCTTGGGGGTTTCCATGGCTTTTTCTGCCGTGGCCTCATCCTCCTCCTCATCTTCACTCTCATCCTCACTTTCGTCCTTGCTTTCGACGTTGGGGGCTTCCATAGCTTCTTCTGCCCTAGCCTTCTCATCCTCCTTTTCATCCTTCTCCTCATCTTCGCTCTCCTCATCAGACGACTCATCTTCGGATGCCGCATCTTGCATTGTCTTTTCTGTTGCCTTTGCACCCTCCTTCTCATCCTGCTCATCTTTCTTTGCATCCTTCTCCTCATCTTCGCTCTCCTCATCCTCACTTACGTCCTTCCTTTCAGCTTTGAAGGTTTCCATACTTTTTTCTGTCTTGGCCTTCTCGTCCTCCTTCTCATCTTCACTCTCATCCTCACTTTCGTCCTTGCTTTCGACGTTGGGGGCTTCCATAGCTTCTGCTGCCATGCCCTTCTCATCCTCCTTTTCATCCTTCTCCTCATCTTCGCTCTCCTCATCAGACGACTCATCTTCGGATGCCGCATCTTGCATTGTCTTTTCTGTTGCCTTTGCACCCTCCTTCTCATCCTGCTCATCTTTCTTTGCATCCTTCTCCTCATCTTCGCTCTCCTCATCCTCACTTACGTCCTTCCTTTCAGCTTTGAAGGTTTCCATACTTTTTTCTGTCTTGGCCTTCTCGTCCTCCTTCTCATCTTCACTCTCATCCTCACTTTCGTCCTTGCTTTCGACGTTGGGGGCTTCCATAGCTTCTGCTGCCATGCCCTTCTCATCCTCCTTTTCATCCTTCTCCTCATCTTCGCTCTCCTCATCAGACGACTCATCTTCGGATGCCGCATCTTGCATTGTCTTTTCTGTTGCCTTCGCACTCTGATTCTCATCCTTCTCATCTTTCTTTGTATCCTTCTCCTCATCTTCACTCTCATCATCCTCACTTGCGTCCTTCCTTTCAACTTTGAAGGTTTCGATATTTTTTTCTGTCTTGGCCTTCTCATCCTCCTCCTCATCTTCACTCTCATCCTCACTTTCGTCCTTGCTTTCGACGTTGGGGGCTTCCATAGCTTCTGCTGCCATGGCCTTCTCATCCTCATGTTCATCCTTCTCCTCATCTTCGCTCTCCTCATCTTCGCTCTTCTCATGAGACGACTCATCTTCGGATGCCGCATCTTGCATTGTCTTCTCTGTTGCCTTTGCACCCTTATTCTCATCCTGCTCATCTTTCTTTGCATCCTTCTCCTCATCTTCGCTCTCATCCTCACTTTCGTCCTTGCTTTCGACGTTGGGGGCTTCCATAGCTTCTGCTGCCCTACCCTTCTCATCCTCGTTTTCATCCTTCTCCTGATCTTCGCTCTCCTCATCAGACGACTCATCCTCGCATGCCGCATCTTGCATTGTCTTTCTTGTTGCTTCTTCCCCTTCCTTCTCATCATCCTTTTCATCCTTCTCATCCTTCCGAACCTTTTCTTTTCTCGGCTCCTCAACCTCGTCCTCCTCACTTTGGTCTTCGCTTTCATCTGAGGTCTCCATCTCTTGTTGTTTCTTGGCCAGTTCTTTGTCATCCTCGCTGTTCCAATCTGGAATGATATTGTTTGGGTCACGCCAGCTGTTGGGTGCTGACTCAGGGTTTTCCAAATGGTTGTATGAAGAGCACGTGTCACTGTCAATCACCTCAACGTCTTGATCATGTTTCTCACATTCTTCCTTCCCACCCATCGCCTTCTTGTCATCTTTGCTATTTGTTCCAAACTTTCCTGTCTGCTGCTCATCTTCACTTTCTTCATCCTCTTCGGTGTCTTCACATTCGCTTTGCTTTTCTTCACCTTCGCTTTCCTTTAGCTCCTGCAGCTGCAGGCATAGCACAAGACCAGGGACGTTGGACATGATTCAGACTAGTTACAACCCCTTTGTGTTCATTTGGATTCACTAAATGGCAACCCTTGGGACTCACTTTGTCAGTAGTGATTGGGGGTTTTGCTTGATTACCCATATATAAACTTTTGTTGACGGAGAAAAAAATCACAATGCTGTTCAATCAGATTGAGTCACGGCCGGGAGTTCAGGAACGTCTCCACAACTCCTCAGCTAAAGAGTAAGCACCATTACATGTGCAGATCATTATCGATAAATGTCACAAATGATCACTGGTTAATTTCAGATTGAGTGGCATTTTCTCAAGATCGAACTGTGGCATCTCCATCATAGGTTGAGTCTCCATGTCGTCAATGGATTTCCTGAGCTGGACCCACACATATTGATAGCTGTGCTTGTATGGCCATCCACGCGCACACGCAACACACAAATTGCACTCTACATAGTCTAGAATCGAACTCTGCCTTGATGTTGTTTTGGACTCAGGGGATAACCAGTCAAACCCCCTGCGTTTCTGTCGCTGGTGACTTAGAAGGACTTGGTGGCATCGGTCAGCCTCAGATACAAGAAACATTGTTTCATACCATGGTTCCGGAGAAAGATTGTGAATTCATGTCAGCAGTGGATAACAAACCCATAAATGCCTATTGAATATGACTGAGAGACCTGTTCAATAACCCATGACCGAAGGTCATCTTTGCTTCTATTCAAACCTCAATGGAACACCAAACGCGATTAAATCGATCAAATCACACACAATAAGTGAAATCATTGTTTTTGATCCACCACTAAGCTGGGAACCAATCTTTTTTTTTTTACGATTTTGAAGAAAACTTCACGGATTTGCCCTTCTCTTGGAACGCGGCGCAACCCTGAATCGCGAAATGCCGCGCGAACCCAAAGGTTGTCCTTGAGCCTTATATCACCTCCTGGAAGAAACTCCATGGTCTTCTTGACCTTTGGGATATCCACCCGCTTGAGCATAGATTTTACCAGGCTCCTGAGGAGGGTTTCAAACAAGAACAAATGTGGTTGAGTAAACACACCTAGATGCCCCAAAACCATATCACCCTCACCCCATCCCCGAACGGTGTTGATTCCAAGTTTCCGGTGCTGTGGTGCTAGCTTTGAAGCCGATCGCAGCTTCACCATGGCTGCGACGAGGAATAGGTGATCAAAAGGTGCTTTTATTGTGGCAAGATCTTGGGTTTTTATAGAAAAACACATTTTTTTTCATTTCCTTTAAGGTATGTCCCAAAATGATTGGTTTCTAGTGATTCCACCCCAACTCTCACCAGGGCATCCCTCCACGCTCGATCCACTCGCAGGTGGCAGAGATGACAACAACCGGATGGCCTCAGCCGGAAAGTGATAAATTATTTCCAGGCATGATTTTTTCCATAAGACCCTGACCTCAGATTCTAAGTGTCCTTAATTGATTTTTTGGCTAAGTGTCCTTAATTGAAGGGTACATAGAACCTGATGGTATATGTATATATATATGTATATATATATGTTCGAAGTGCAAGTCCGTGTGTTGCAGCATTGTTCCCGAAGAAAAGGTATATATTACTTTTCTGCAGCAGTGAGGGGAGAAAGTGTTCTAAGTATGGTGTTCACCAAGGTATTTGTGTATATATATATGCAGATTTACCAAAGTAACTGGAAATGTTCTAAGTATATGTGTTTTTAATGTTCTAAGTTGCAAAAATCAAAGGATATGTTCTAAGTATATGTTTTTTTGATGTTCTTGGTGGGTACTTAGAAATATGTTGATGTTCTAAGTATAGGGTGTTTTAATGTTCTAAGAAAAGGTTCAGATATTTTGGAAAATTATGTTCTAAGTATATGTCCGTCGCTATATGAATCCCTGATAGATTGGTGACCCATCCCCTGACATGGGCAATTTGCCCAACTTTTGACCATGGCATACATTACATGAAGTTGAAAGATGTTGTTAGGCCTTTTCGCCATAACCTGTGGTTGTTGTCTGCCCCTGCAAGTTACAGAAAAAAACATATTTATATTTATATATATACAAAAAAATCAACGCAGTATCGAGTCGTCCATTTAGCTAGGTTTTAATTTGGACATCCACAGAGTCAATGCGCAAGTCCCATGGGCCTGTGCCATTCTGCTACATTTCTTTGGATTGTCCGAGGTCCACCAAGGAGGCACCAGCCATCAGCCCAACATTCGCCAATGACTGAGGTCATTTACCAAGGTAATCCAATGATAACCAATGTACATATTCCGGTTTGCAGGGTTTCCAACAATTTTAACCCATTCATAAACCCGTCCCTCTATACTATATTATACTATAATCTTACATACATAAACCATATCCCTAATGTATGGGACACCAAGTCATGAATAGATCCAGCAAATTCTACTGCATTCCGCCAGGATTTTTTGGGGTCAGCACAGTCCCCAAGTCGCCAGCATCCAGTCCTCGTAGGTGACGCCGTTGAAATATTTTAACTGAGGCATGAAACCATGAAGCAGCCTGAAGCAAGGAGATCATCCCGGCCCCGCAATTCAAACCCTTGGAAAAAATAGGGGTCTATACTTGGTTGATCCTCAAAGCAGTGTCAACTAGGGCCATGTAACTGATTAGCGTTTGGAATCATGATCAATGCTGGCTATGGAAGGCTTAGTTGAAGCATTTCCAGTTCAACTATAACATACTATAACCAACAACAATACGGGAAGGTCCAGCCATTGACGGATGGAATCCGCCGGCCTGCTGGGGGTGCCTGATTGTAAGGTGTTGTATGGTGTTGTTCCTGTTTCTGTTCTTGGCTTGTACTTGTTGCTTTGTTCTCTTGCTACGTGTTTCTGCTTCGTCTGAATCATGTCCACAGCCCCCTCCCCCTCTGACGTGGCGTTCCCGACATGTTGTCTCAGTGAAAGCGTTTGCGATTTTCCCATTGACGCCTCCCTGCGCCACTACGACATCGACCCATGTGATTAAAGGGCGGCGTTTGGTGCTCTTAGCTGCTGGGCCCACAGAGGACGCAAAGGGTGAACTTCTATCCGCGTTCCTTTTCTCCGGCGCCGCTACGACATTTTCAACCCGCCTGACCCACTCTTCTACTTTACAACAAATCAAGCAGCATCCCCTACTACTCCTACTACTACTCCTACTACTCCTTCTACTCCTGCTACTCCTCCTACTGCTACAGCTACTATCTCCTACTACTACTCCTCCTCTTCACCTCTTCCCGTCTTCCCCAAGTACTAAACCCGTAGTGCCAGCAGCTAGCGAAACTATCTACAGCACATAGTGGTCACAGGACGTACACGGTACTATACTGATCGACAGGTACTCAGTTGGTATCTTCGTCTCTTCTTCTGTCTTCTTCCTCCCCTTCTTCTTCTACTACTTCTTCTTCTCTTATCTTCTGCTTCTCTCTTCCACCTAGTTTGCACATCCACCTCCCTTGGGGCAACCTCTCTCCGCTTCCACCTTGTCCCCTTCCATGCAGCGGTCTGCTGTCAAGCCGAAGGCTCATACATAGCACCTGGCGCTACTTTGCTGGGGTCGGTACGAATTTGGTATCCGGTCAATAGGTTGTTACGGCAAGCACTAGCTGCTTCCGTTTTACTGCTCGGTCTTCGTCTCCCCTTTTTTTTCTTCTTCTTCTTCTTGTTTTTCTTCCTCCTCCTCCTCCTCCTTCTCTTCTGCTTCTCTCTCCGGCTTCCACCTAGAGTGCACATCAAACTCCCTTGGGGCCACCTCTCTATGTCCGGCGGGCTTGCCGCAGGCATTTAAAAATCAGTTTGGTTTGTTGAATGTATATATAGACCGTTTAGAGAAACCAATTCTCGAGTAGGTAAGTATATACAAATACCCTACTCATGCGGACCTGCAAGAAAACGTAGAGGTTTTAACATCCCGGCAGTTTTAAAACAAAACTCCAGATTTTCAAACTATAGAGGGAATGTTTTCGAGTTGCTCAACTTGCGGATATATATATATATATATGTGTGTTAATATATATATATGTCAATATATATATATATATGTCTGTATAAATATAAATATATATATATATGTTAATACATATATATATAATTATATATATATACTGTATATATATATATATATGTATTATCCAAAACCAATCCGGGTGGCGACCGATGCTTGTTTGCTGGACCAGTTGTTACAACAGACTTCTTTTCAATCAACATAGACATGGAAAACCCCGGTGAAAACCAATGGTTTCTCTTGGGGGAAAACACATATAAACTGGTTGGTGGTTTCAACCCCTCTGAAAAATATTAGTCAAATGGGATGATTGTTCCCAATATGTGGAAAAATAAAATTCATGTTCCAAACCACCAACCAGTAAATGGTGGCTTGTCCATATCATTCCATATCTATGCGCATCCAATGAGTGATAACAAGCATCAAGGAACTTAACCGGACGGTCATCGGCACACCATTCAACATTGAAACTTCACGTGTGTAAATCTGAGTCTCCTGGCCAGAACTCTTAAACCCAACTCATCAACTTTACCAGTATCCCAACCTTATAGGTGTGTTTGAACATGGAGTGTTATTACCCCCACATCACAATGTTAACAGTGAAAATGAAGCACGACCGTTGAATATTCGCGTAGCTCATTCTTGAAGAAACCAATGTCCCCATTGTATTCCAATATATTCCAATGCTATTCACAGGAAAATCCCAATTGGTTTTGTTTTATCCCCCGTTTTGGCTGCTCAAATCTTAATTGTCATTTGTGAATCCCCATCTTTCTTTGGCAAATCCCATATTTTATCCAATAATCCGCATGATATTCCCAGGATATTCCCACACTCCTATCATATTCCCATGACATTCCCGGATATTCCCATGCCATTCCCACATTTCAACAGCTTTCCATAGCTGTCACTGGCCCTTTTTTTTCGGAGCCACGTGGTCTGGTAGACCAGCACGCCCATGCCGAAGGTGGCCACAAGGGTGAAGAGCATGGCCAAAGCGAGACGGAGCGGCACCAGCAAGGATTGAAACGAGAGGTAGAGGACCTGCGAAGTGCGAGACATCCATGGGAAGTGATAGATGTTGATATAGTCAAAAAAAATCATTAAAAATACCATTTAAGATAGATAGTGATAACATTTAATGTATTTTAAACATAGCATTTAACATCATTTGAAGTCATTTGATACCATTTAATGATTTAATATAATTTGATAACTAATATTTAGTAACATTAAACACAAATAAATAACACTTAAAAGCATTTCAGGCATTTCATGACATTTAAAAACCATCTTATAGCCACTTACTTTAGTGGTTTTCAGAGCTTCACAAGCATCGTAATTATATGTAATTATAATATATTATAACTTATAACCCGTTGTTGGTATATCGATTTAGCTGAGGATATTCCATCAAGCTTACTTTCTCTGAGTTGATATGGTTGTTATTTGCCACTGGCGATGCCCACTGACGATAAGGACATATGCGTTGTTGCATGTTGTTGGCATATTCACCACCACGGTGCCAGGGTTTGACAGATACGAGTACCTAGATACTTGTCTGCGCTTGCACATATCCAAAACTCTCATAACCTCGTCAGAGGTTGCTGCAGTTCCTTTGACGAGAAAGACACGACCAACCAAAATATGAGGTCAATTGCTGCTTGATCTCTTTGAAACAAAAAATGAACACAATCAGAACTCTTTCTTTTGCACTTTTGTTGAGTTGTCTCTCATTTCTCAAAATACCTGCTCTAGATTGTGTACAAAAGTACAAGCAGCCCTTCGAGAGCTGCCTGAAAAACCGCTTGGTGATCTGGGAATACCGGTACTCCATGGTTTTTCTTCGCCAACAGTTGAGACCCGGGATGGCTGCATCCCAGCCACAATCATGATCAAGGAGATGCTTACGACCAAGTAGGTCCACATGGCGCGCATGATCCTAGAGTTGGCGAAGGTTTCAACATGTACCCTCTGGTTATTTAACATAGCCACGGAAAATCACCATCTATAAATGGGCCATTGTCCATGGCTATGTTAAATAACCAGAGGGTAGTTGCTTCAAAACATTTTTTTCTTTCTTCCAGGGGATCAATGTTATGAATGTCTCCTAGCTCTATGTTCCACGAGTTGGCTGGTCCATGAAATCTACAGTGGCCCACTGAAAAATGCCAAAACCACTTGGTGATATTGAAGAATACATGGTGTTTTTGCCGGTTGTGGGTCTATGTCCGGAAATAGTCAAACATCTCAAACTGAGTTGCAGGTGATATGTTTCCACAGAAATGGCAATAAGCGTCAAATTTCGATATCATGTAAATTCCTGTCGAAACAACGTACAATTAGGGGATGTATGTACTGATATACTGATATTATGTTTTGGACTGGGGCTGAATATCATCAATATCATTGACTGATCCGTTGAATATCTCCATCACCACCATCATCAGTGCATTTTTCTTGTGTCTTGAGTTTTGTCCACTCGCTGGCGCGCAACACACCTGCAAGTTGGGTCAACCATTTCTGGCCGATCAGGGCCAGTATCCGAGATACGGATGGACACACGAAAGAGTTGTCACCATAAACCATAGAGTTACTGAGTTGGCTCCGGATCTTTGGGTGATTATACAATGATCCTTCTGTCCTCTCCAAATACCACCTAAGTGCAGGATTTAGCCACTTTTTATTAAACACACACCACACAATCACATAGAATCTTCAAACTATCCCATTCTGCCTTATTCGCGATTTTTCTCCTATATCCCAATATATAATATCCCCATTTACAGATGATTTTCTGTAGTTAAATAGTTATCTTCCAAAGTTCAAACAGCATTTGTCCAGTTGAACCTGAGCCTTTATATAGATCGCCATGTTTGTTGAGTTAAATCCCAATAAATCACCATTTTTGTTGCTTATATAAATCCCACGATTTATCTCCATGTTTTGATGGTCAAATCCACATTGTTTTTTTGGACCAAGAGGCTCTGCTCGGGTGTCCGCTGCCTCTGCGTTGCCACCAGCCAGTTGCACCTGGAAAAGTCCAAGGTAAGATCATCTTATTGGTCAAGAAACCAAATATAACCAGTTAGGAAATGTCAGAAATCGGAATAATACCATGCAATCAGCAGTTTGGACGTGTCAGGATTTGTAGTATAAAAAACAAATTCTCTCAGATTCATAAAGAAATACCCCAGTTGTTACTTGCAACCGCCAAAACAAATGTACAGTCCAGGATGGGGATCGTCCCAATAATACGGCGCCATGGCCCGACAACGGTGGGGGTTTGTGCTCAATATTCCCCCCCCATAGGTGGCTTGTAATAATCCAACCTGGTAGTGGAATAATCCATCCAGTGCAATAATAATTTACATATACCATTCATGGTGGCTATAGTTTAATCATGTTTAATCCATTGTAATGATCACCAGTTTGGGTATACCATGTATGGATTATAATCCAGTGTAACTATACCAAAAATTGAACCAGTGATAGTTTTTTTTTAAAAATCACCGTTTTAAACCATCGACGATGATATTTTCAGCACCCCAAGCACCGCCCACCTTATAACCTGGATGCTTGTGCTCCCAAGCTCTGAGGATGCCTGAGCAAAACCGTGGATGCTGGATTCCCATCCCCTGGAACTGGTCGGTGGTATACCTACCCCTCTGAAAAATATGAAAATCAGTTGGGATGATGACATTCCATATATTGTGGTAAAATAAAATTCATGTTCCAAACCACCAACCAGTTATGATAGTCTATGTGTATAACAGTTATAACATATACAAATACACAACATCCACACATACACTTACACTGCACACGTATTGGTACTACATACTTACACGCAATGCATATACATAGATACAAAAGCGATATCTGGAAGGTGCAAATAATCCTAACTAGAAGATGAGACAGAACGGAAACGATTTATGTAAACAGTGCTTATCATCCCAATGAAAGCCTGGCCACTCACAGTATGGCTAGCCATCCTCTCATCTATCTGATTGTAAAGATCAATTTATTCTAGCTGAATCTCAATTATTTCACCAACCTGAAATGTTGTGGTGAATTTGAGTTTCCATGACCGTTATTTACGGTGACTTTGGCCAATTATTTCTGATCAACCAACAAATGATACAGAATTCCACTAGGGAAACATAAATTTGCAGCCGATACTGTATTTCCCCAGAAACATGAATGGCTGACGGGTCAAAATGGTCAAACATCTGAGACTTCTGAAAGGCCACCCGAAAACAAATCGAGACACCTTTCTCATAAGAATTGATAGCTGCACCCATTTCTGGTCGTTCCCTCCTACTTTTGTGCGTAAAACATTGTAAATTTGCTGGCGATCACGGCTGACCCGCCATTGGTGAATAGGGTACCCCAAGATCCGACTGAGAATCCTCCTTTTTCCCACTAAACATTTGTTCATTCTTGGGTAGTTTGAACATGTTTGAACCCAAAAATCCCAACCCCCCTGATCATGTTGAATACACAATGGGTCCCCAAAACCAAGACCTAAGATCCATTTGTTTTAATATGATCCTATACGATCCAATATTTAAAGCAGGGTAAAATAAGCTATTGGTATTCTATTTAACATAGCTATGGAAAATAGCCATAGAAATAGTTGATTTACCCATGAAAAATGGTGATTTTCCATGGCTATGTTAAATTACCAGAGGGTAATATTGGCATTGAACAAACATCTGGAGATGGCGATTTTTCTTCGCATCCAGGCCTCGCGCTTCTTCGGCCCAGTCGGCAGACAAAGCACCTGGAGATGGGAACACTTTCCCATACAAGGTGGTGCCCCCCCAGTTATAAGTTGGTTTATAATCCCCAGTAACTATAGATATCACCCCCATAAACCCTAGTTATTGGACTTATAAACCAACTTAGCTAACTATGGGGCACCACCTTGTAGAAATCCCATAATCGTCCCATAATCATCCATATGCATCTGGTTGGTGGTGCAATAGCCATCTTAAAAAATATTAGTCAGTTGGGAAGGATTATCCCATATATGAAATGGAAAATAACATTCATGTTTGAAACCATCAACCAGGCATTGTTCAGCAGCAAAGTGATCTATCCCCAAATTATTATTGAAATGATACAGTATGTATGACATGATCTATTCCATTATATCCCCAACAATGACGGGAAAATGTCCGCGAGACAAAACATAAGATTTAAGCCACAGTGACGACGATGTCAGCGATATAAAAAAAATGAACCTGCAACAATGGGAACTTGGGCAATCGTAAGTTGGATTGAACCAGCAATAGTTGACATGTTCAGCATGAACATTATGGACTTAATCAGCAATAGTAGGATTTTACCAATAAAAACTGGGAGTGGACAACCCATATATCCATATTGGGAATTCAAGCAATAGAACATTGGCTGTAACCAGCAAGAATGGACATTTCAACAGTCTGATTCAGCAATGACTCGGTTTTGGCAATTTGCTTAGTGACTTAGTTTCCATCCTGTGAAGAAGACTTTGTCATTTCTTGGATACCCGGTTGATGGTATCCAAACAACAGTTTTTTCAACTTGCTGGGATTCCACGCCGCCTCCAACCATGTTAGGCTCCTTTATGCTCCATCAATCTGGGGCAATTTTTGTGTTTCAACTATGAATGAGACTCAAAATAAACAGACATGTTGGAAATTGTTTGAAACCTTGGTATTTTGAGCAAATATCATTTATACCATCCTGGAAATGTTTTTTTAAAATATCTCTTGGGCAACCCATATAACCCAAAGAGCGTACTCCGAGAATTTGCTAAATTGTTCAAGAATCTATAATATAAGAATCTGATACCCCAAAAAACCCAGTAGTTTTTCATGTTCCCCCACTTTGTAGAGGCCGCCCAGTTATAAGGTTCCAAAGCCCATTAACTATAGTTATAACTGCAATAAGCTCTAGTTTTTGGTGTCAACACCAGTAAGAGGCCATGCGCGTGTGGATTTTTGGGGTGGTGGGCGAGGGGCGGGTGGGGGGTGGGGGGGTTGGGAGGATTGGGTGGGGTGGGATGTTAATGTTCATTGCGACTGCAACCACATAGTACGTCCTCTTGCACTTCCACACGTACGTCATGCTACGAGCCAGAACAGCTTGCTATGCTGATGGTTGCAAATTGCAAAGCTTGGAAAGAACCCTCCAAACAACAAGTGCCAGAAAAGCGCCTCAAATGGCAAAACGTTGCCCACAAACACGGTGAGTTTGTGAAGCACTTGGGAGGAAGCCAAAGAGTTCTTCTTTGGCCGGAACACAGACTTTAGACAGACAGTGGGATGGGTAGACAGTGGGATGGGTTAAAAACACGATTCCCCGGCAGTTGCATACACATAAAGACTGCAGACAAGACTTCAGAAAAATTGGAAGCACTTGTATGCTGCAGTCTGGCGCAAGAGCGTCAAAGGCAATGTCCTGAACAACCTCGGACAACTTTGTGCTTGAAAGGAAAAAAGGAACTTTCCGGCGAAACCCTCGTGCTTGTAAAACACTATATAGATTTTCCACTTTTGAAGTGATCCTTCCAAGGGATTTGCACCAAAAAAAATATTTCAGAAATATAAAAATGTATTACTACAGTTTCGGACACTTCCCTCATCGTCCTGGCACTGTGTGATGTCATCACCGACACGGCCTCTTTTCCGGGTGCTGTTACCTAGTTTTTGGAGTTACAAACTAACTTAGCCATCAAAGTAGGGGCCCCAACCTCGTATTAGAATGCAATTTCAGAGTAGAGCCTCTAAACAAAAATTGCTCGCAGAAAACGACCACCACAACTTGCCAAAGGTTTTTTTCAAAAATCCGCCGCCTATAGGTGGAAAGTGCGTGTGGACCTGGAGAAGAGCCTGCTTCCCGTTCACGAACTGCTCCAGTAGGGCTGAATACCTTAAATCTTGGACGGCTTGGATGGCTTGGCAGCACCCGACTGGCAATGTTCAACCGGGAGAACTAGAATCACCAAGAATCCGGAGAATTCAACCCTCAGATGTACAACCAATCATGATAAAAACTCAAGAAAGTGAGCTGATTTACGCAACCAACCAAATAGGAAATAGGCACAGGTGATAAACAATGATGGTTGGTTTCCCCACTTGTGCATGGATGCTTTTTCTTGGGATATCCATAAGCATTAAGCATCAAGGACTTACCATCAACATACCATCAACAGGTTTGTTGCTCATCCCAGGATATACCAACATCATCTGGGCACAGTGTCATATTTCCTGATATATTGACATAATTAATTTGACATCAGATTTCGACACCAGATTTCGACTTGTGATGACTTCTATACCAATGTACCTCATGATAGACCTACAAGCACATAGTGACTCTACACTACTTTCCGAAAACCCCCACCAGGCGTCAAAATCCACTGCGGACGGAGGGCCCATGGCGCAACTCCGGCTTTGCCGCTAAAGCCACCACCAGGGGCCATTCCAATCCTGGGTGGCTCAGTCTTTCCCACCCCATTTGTTCCTGATTACAGCTGATTACAGATCAACATTGACTGAAACCATTATATAACTATATATATATATATATCGATGTTTTATTATTGGTGATATGGTATATATATATATATAGGTAAAACATTGTAAAACATTAAGAGCCACAAATAAACAATGTTGATAGTTTCACATTGCTGAACCCATTGCTGTTTGTTGTCCACCCTTCAAATTACATTCCGTATACCTATGGTTCCCAAAGGACTCAAAGTTTCACACTTGGTTTGGACCGGTCACTTCTAGGCCTTCTAAGCTTACACATGTTCTGAAATCCACATCAACTATACAGTGTTTTCCGAAATCTTTCTGGATTTAACCTAATGTATATAATATGGAGGTTTCCAGAGTCATGGGGGGGGGTACCCCCAAAACCATCCAACATTTGACCATTTTAGTATTGAAACAACCATGGTTTTGTTGGGGATCCATGGCTTAAAAACTCGCCATCATCCGCCATACCCACGGCGAAGCCGCCAAGGGACGCTGATGCAAGATCCATTGCGGTCCCAGGATGGAAGCCACAGCTCCAGTGCCCTGGAGCTTGTCTGAGAGCCTCAGGGGATTCGCTTCGTCATGGACCAATGGACAATCACAGCCTTGGATCTTTTGAATTGGACCCGGCCAGTTTGGGTGGATTTTTTCAATGGGAGGATAGTGTGTTTTTTTGGGCGCGGGGTTTTTCAACCCAGGAAAGAGACACTTGCGCGCACGAGTGCGCTACTAGGCTTGACTGCAAGGATGTCAGCGTGAGAGTCACAACCGGACTTAGGTGGGGTCCACAAGCCCTTCATCCTTTCCGAAAGAGATACACAATCCTAGGTTCAAAGCACCTAATCACATTTGGCAACCTAGAGATTGGGTTCATATTATCTTGGTGAAAGTTTGTTGACCCTGCAAGGCCCTCTGGTTGCACCACCCAAATAGCCTTCACTTCCCATACATGGTGCCAAGCAGTGGCTAAAGATGGTGAAGTGTGGGCGAAACAGCATGCAAAGGGGAAATCCCGATGACACACAATCAAAGTGAATGTCACAGCTTCATGGTTTTACGGGATCCTCGACTTTATTATACCTTTTTTCCACATTTCTTTGCAAGCCTATTTTTTGATATTCTTCCAACAAAATGTGAAGCATGTTTACTGTTATCTTTCCTGCACGTGCCACCACTAGTCTTCAATGTGGTGGCAAAAAAACAGCAGGGTTTAGTTTTCACATGTTTTCACCTATTGACAAGCTCTGCTCCCAACACCCCAGCTATAAGTGGGGGAGACTGGGTAGATGACGAGGTAAAATGACCCATTCTCTCTGCTCGGCCAAGAAACTCCAGCAGAGCATGGAAGCCGCTGGGAAGCAGCAGCATGCCACGCTCCTTCCGACTCAGATTCTGCACCTGGCTGACCTCGGGACTAAGTCGTTTAAGGGAAAAAACCTCAGGAAGTAGATGCCAGAAAATACTACAGTAAAGATGACCTATAATGTTATATATACATAGTATACATACAAAACAAAGATGACCTATATAATTCAATTGGAACACGCAATTCGAACAAAATCGATGAAAGTCTGAGTACTAAACATTACACCATTTATGGGTCGGTTCGTACCCCATTTTGGAGCCCTAGAAAAATGCAATTTGGGTGTGAAACATATCAACAGGTGTCCAATAGGTAAATCATTTACAACCATTTGGGGATTCCAAGTTCTGATAGGAAAACCATCTTAATTACTGTCCAGCCAGCCGCATTTCTTTACCCAAGGGTGTATGATATGATATATACTCAAGGATGAAATGGGAAATGTTGGGTGGGGTCCGGGTCGTATCCCAATATCCCAATTGGTTTGAGTTAAACATAGCGCAAACGCAGTAAATTCAGAAATACCCCGTTTCCTTAAGATCCTTAAACCAATCTGTTGACATTCGCACAGTTTACCACCACCAAGTGTAAAGGCAACAACCTCAACAGCACCAAAACTACTCCAGCCAATCAAATCCGACGTATCTGTCCGGGCTTGTCCAAAAAGAGGACAAATAAAGGATACCACTTAAGTAGCAATTCTGATAAGGAAACTAATGATTAGAAAACATGGGATTTCAAACGTAACATGCATAATTTTACCACTGAAACCATTCGCAAGGGCCACAGGGCTTTCAGAACAAACAGAAAAGTCAATGGGGAAGGTTGTGAACGCATCCAACCTAGGAATGGGTGATACAACCACGGTTTCTACCATGTTTTCCAATGGATCAACCCGGATCGAAGCCGAATTCAACTCCCCATGGGTCGATTGCCACCCCCGAGCCAAGCGGCGATGTCTACCAGGAAGGGATAGCGCTGCAGCAAACCCTTCTGCACTGCTGATTGGTTCACCTTCCTCAAGGACGACAGGAGCCTAGGATCTGAGTTTCAGGACTGAGGTTTGCTGAGGTTTGGAGAACCCAACTTCTGGTTACAAGTTATATGCGCGCAATGGTGATACAGGAGACAATGCACCCAGGAGGTCAGGAGATGATGGAATGGAACCCGGACCCAACTGGAAGGTTATAATATAAATGGCAGCTATTATTAGGCTATTATATATAGTTTACATAGTTTAGTATTACCTAACCTCCCAGCTACCTTTTGGATAGGTAACCAGGGTGACTTTCCCTTATGATTTTTGGTTGGTTACCTTAAAATGAACCAAACCGAAGGACTATTACCCAATTCGGGCCGTTAGAAGGAAACGTCTAGGAGCCCCCAGACTGATGATGAGCGAATTACGCTAGAAATGGTGCAGGAACTTGCCCCAATCAACGCCAGGCGCTTGGGCACCGGTGAACATCACGGTCAAGACTTTAACAGTGACACCCGGGCTCACATGGTTTCAATCAGATCTTTTTCCCCTCAATTACCGAACAAACAAATACATGTTCGGACTGGGTTGCATTCTGACATTTCGAAAGTTCATTTTGAAGGTTCTTAAAAACCATTTGCTTCTAGACATCATGTGTCATGAAGTGTCTCTGGAAACAAACAAAAAACGATCTGGAAACCAACTGCCAAGCCACCCAAAGTTGATTCCCTCAGTCATGGTATGATGGTAGTGTACATAGTTCCCCAGTGACTAACATGCAAGGCTAAACTAGCTACCTTCTGGTAATGTGACATAACTTTGGAACATCGCCATTTTGGTGTATAATATATATATATATAATCTAATATCTATTATATATATATGGCGTATATATACAGTATATATATATATAATATTATATATCTATGTTAGACTACCAGAGCACCAAGGTTTACCCAGTGACATCTTCAACCTGCCATTTCCAGTTTTTTCGGACAGGAGCTGTTCCCCATGTTGAAAGAAAACCACACATCTATGGAAAAAAACACATATCTACTTGCACATTGTATCTTAAACAAAACCTAGGAAACGACATAAATATGTATGTTCAAGAGTGTATGCTGCTGCTGAAAAGTGGTCACTGGGGATCATCATGTCTTGCGCTCTGTTGCTTTGTCATAAAATACGTTTCAAACACCGGCAACAGACACTTGTCCGGTAGATCCGGTATAGCCACTAGTTGATGTTGGTGAAATCCCGATCTTTGCCGCGGCAGGCTTCCCAGAATCGTAGTGGAGTGGGTTCTGCCAACCCCAAGCCCAGAGTGATAAACCCCTCGGCTGGATCCTTAGGGAGCATTTTGGGGCCCCGCGATGTTCATCCAAGTGACTGGTCCAAAGCGATCGGAGGAGTTCGGTTCTTCTTCTGAGCCAACAAAAAACCGATGTGGCCAGAATCGATGGCCCAAAATGGAGATGGGCCAAACTTTGCGATCTGCAAATTCTGGTCATGTTCAACATCAAAGACAAAGATAATCACGATAGTGACAGGTGAAAGGACAAATTGTGTGAACGTCAGCAGGGATCATTGCAAAGTAAACAGAATGAAACCACCAAACCTCTCCATTGATAGACATGACTATACAATAATGTGGGTAAAACAATAATAAACCATCTCCCAAATCACTAGAAATGGGTGGTATAAATTATAAACCATTCCCACATGGGTAGTAAAAATGACATTGTTTTACCCACATTAATATACAGGAGTGCCCTTTTGTGAGTGATGGACCATTTGCCTTACCATCCCATCCCAAACAGGGACAAACATGACACCACCAACTACTGCTGGGTGGATTTTCGCAACGAAAAATCATGGCGAGTTCGTCAGTTGGGATGATGACATTCCCAGTATATTGATTATTATGTTTCATGGAATATCATATGCCATTAAAAACAGCATGGAATATCAACCATATATTATGGACAGTCATGTTCCAGTCCCCACCAACTTGGTTCAACCAGAATAAATCATGCTCTCGCCACAGGGATGATCCTGTAATATCCTGTGAATGCGCCAAGGACCTTTGCGCCAACACTGGCAATGGCTTCGGCGTGAGCCATGGATAGCCATGGTTCCCATCTGGTTATCTAACAGTTTGCCATGGAAAATCACCACCCATTTTGAAGTTCGGTAAAGCATCTATTTCGATTAGGGCCATCGAAAAACCATGGCTATGTAACAAATAACCAGATGGTAGTTTGAAACAGCTGAAATCAACTTATTGGTGCTTTGGAAATGGGGAAGTTACCCATAATGACTATGAACAATCATCCCATTCACCCATTCCCTCTGGGCCATCCGGCAGCTGCCACGGCCGCTCTCTCGATGCAAACTTTGAGGCTCCTGGGATGGAGGATTTGGCTGCAGTGGGCTGCGTTGGCCAATAGTTTGTTCATGTTTCCTGTTTTGATGATTGGAAAACATACTTTTTCCCTGGAAATGGGTGCAAAATCTCATGTCATCTCCAAATCTGCCCAGTATGTTCTGGTGTATTTTCCCAGTATGGATCCAGGGAAATTATAGATTCAATTCCCAAACTGAAAAAGGGCAGTTGCGACGATTCCCCCGCCACATTGTCGCAGTCCTCAGCTGTGAGTCATCTACTGTCAGGTTCCCTTCCTTGGCCAGCTCGAGTAGGGCCTAGCGCCATGGTGTAACATGGCTTTGGCTTGGCAGGGATATATGATAATATATGACCAAGATTTATCAAGGCTGTAACCTCAAAAATAGCCTTCAAAATGAAGATTGCAAAAAGATGAACGGCTGTAATTCTTGACTCAACATGTTCAGTGATTCCTCCCTGAGACGGCTTTTTCACGGTAACCCATGTAACCCATACCGGGCCATACCTAAAATGAAATATCAGCTCAACCATAGCTCAAACATATCATCAACCCAATGGCACTTGAGAAGCTTACCATCCCTTCCATCTTTCGGAGAATGCTGTCCGCATCTGGAGGCCATAAGGAAAGTCCCTCTTTGGATGGTTCTTGATTAAAATCTCAATGGTCATTAAGGTCATTCCCTAACCTGGAAACAATCAAGCTGAAGATGCCGCTTACTATCCTTTCTCGATGGGTCACCTCACAATGAGGTCGCGCAAACATACCAAGAACCATTCTAGCCAAAAAAACACATAGATAAATTATCACCATTTCTTGTAAGAGTCAACCCTTCTAATCATAACTGGTTGGTGGTTTCAACCCCTCTGAAAAATATGCTCGTCAGTTGGGACTATGAAATTCCCAATATATGGAAATTTATAAAAGCCATGTTCCAAACCACCAATCAGATATTAGATAAATGTGGAATTACCCAATATATCTGGTTGGTAAATGGGTAACAAGTTGTTCTAACCATAAATGTGGTAACTGGTAAACCCAATATGTCAATTGTATCACCCTTAAATTTTCATCCCCAAGATACCTGCATCTCAGGCGATGCGCAGGTCGCAGCAAGATCACCTGAAGCAGTTCCACGGTGGTATCTGCGAAGTTTTCGTTGACATTGGTTGGCCAAGAACGGGGTTTCCCATGATGACAATTGTTCGTTCCATATAATCATCAACCATCATCAACCACTGACTTTGAACACTGCTCATATTGTCATGTAGCCATCATGTAGCTGTGTTTTCCATGTCCATTTCACGTGTTTGATGGTTTTTGATTGACTTCTCTGATCATCCATGATATTCCCAGATGGCTTCATGCAACATATTCACTGTGTTTGCATGGAGAATCATGAAGTGGAACAACACTCAACAAATGTGGGCATGTTGGCTCTAAAAATATGGGAGCCTCCAAATTCACCTGGAAACAACCAATTCTTTGTACATGCAGAGCTCCAAATTAATTGAACACACCTACTGAATCTGGTCACAAGGCATTCTATCCTTTTGGAGCCCGTTTCATGACCAATGCTTAGATACCCTGCAACAAAAATAACAAAATACGTCAATTATATAAAATAAACTACTTCAATCAACATTAGTTATAGATTCCTCCATTTATGGCTGGTTTTCCTGCACCATGCTCTTCACCCCGAGGCACATTCTTCACACTCGAGGAAGGCATTGGGACAGCAGTTGCAGTGTGGATTATGGGGACTGCTCTCAGTGCGGTTGGCACATGCTAAGCCATTCCTGGGCGGCTCCCAAGGGCTTTCCTCTAACATGGTGGATACCCTCTGGTAATTTAACATAGCTATTGAAAATTGCAATTAATAGTGGATTTTCCCATTAAAAATGGTGATTTTCCATAGTTATGTTAGTTTACCAGAGGGTAAGTTGGGGTCCCCGACTTGAAGGCGCAGTTGGGGTTAAGAATGGGCATGCCCATGGCATAATACTCCCTATCAGTTGGGCTTATATCAATAGACCCATAAAGTGGAACTGTACCCACAAGTACTGTATCTTGCTGATCTTACTGATTCCAGTTCTACAGAAAACTAAGGGTCGATAGGTACCCGTAGGTTCGTTGGTACCTGATGTTTATGTGCCCCAGTTTCGTCCGTGACATACTTAAATGGGCCATGAGTCAACTCGTGATCGTAACTGCCTCATAACCCACGAACTATCCCCAGTTCTATCCCAGCTACTAACCAGTTCCAGTATGTTACAGTAAGTAATTCATCCAAGTATGGCAAGTATGGTTGCCTATGCTCCGCCCATGGTTTTCCCAGTTTTCCTATGGGTTGCCTACGGTTTTACTATGGTTTGGCCCGCACCGAGACGCAACAACTCCTCATAGCCCGACAGATCCTCCGGTGCCTCTGGACGGCGAAGCAAGGAGTTTTGGCCTGGTCCATAGCGAAGCCGAAGCGGATTTGATGGTGTTTTATGTAATGGGTTTTAATGGGTTTTAATTGGATTTAATGGGATTTAATGGGTTTCAATGGGTTCTAATGGGTTTCAATGGGTTTTAATTGGATTTAATGGGATTTAATGGGGTTCAATGGGTTTTAATGGGTTTCCATGGGTTTTAATGGGTTTCAATGGGTTTTAATTGGATTTAATGGGATTTAATGGGTTTCAATGGGTTTTAATGGGTTTCAATGGGTTTTAATTGGATTTAATGGGATTTAATGGGGTTCAATGGGTTTTAATGGGTTTCAATGGGTTTTAACTGGATTTAATGGGATTTAATGGGTTTCAATGGGTTTTAATTGGATTTAATGGGTTTTAACTGGATTTAATGGGATTTAATGGGTTTCAATGGGTTTTAATTGGATTTAATGGGATTTATATAATGGGTTTTGAATTCAATTTAATGAGATTTGATGGTGATTTAGTGGGATTTACTCTCATGGTAAACTAGCATGGCTATGGATAAAATCGTCATTTTCTATATCAATCAATGGAAATCATCCTGAACTGGGCCATTTTCCATGGCTATGTTAGTTTACTGGAGGGTAACTTCTGTCAAATCTGTCAATATAGATTCATTGAAAGGAACGTCTGCAGGAGTAAATTGTCATCAAATCTAGTGGTTTCTTCGAACATGTCTCATCCAATTCCAGGACTCTGGTAACCCATTGAAACTGAAACCCATTAAATCCCATTAAATCCAATTAAAACCCATTAAAATATGCTACACAAAGCATGGGGAATCCATGGCTGTCGGGTGATACACATGGGCACCTCAAAATCCCACGATGGCAATCGATTTGAGCATCTGGATTTTTGGGGAGGTGAAAAAAGACAGTCAGTTTGATTCCAGGTATCTGATAAAAAAATCGGCAGCATTCCCATTCATTCCCATTCTTCTTAAGGTCAAATCGCGATGCTGGTTCATCTCTCCCATCTTGCCATCGTTTTTTTGTTGCTTAGTACCCTTACTTACATCTTCCCCAAAAAATCTAACATGGAACACGGCGGAGCCTACTGGAACACAATTTCCTTGCTCCAAGGTTGCCATGTTTAAATCTGTTTGGGAGATCTCACATGTGTCTGCAGAAGGGTTTGCTCCAGAAAAAAGACAACCCTTAAACAAATTACTTTACTTCGTGTGATCCCCACCATGACATTTATACATTTTCTTACTGGCAAATCTTCTGGCATTCTATCTGACATATCTTCTGACATTCTATTTGACATTCTATCTGGCATATCTTCTGGCATATGATCTGGCATATCTTCTGGCATATCTTCTGGCATTCTATCTGGCAAATCTTCTGGCATTCTATCTGGCATATCTTCTGGCACTCTATCTGACATATCTTCTGGCATTCTATCTGGCATATCTTCTGGCATATATTCTGACATATCTTCTGGCATTCTATCTGACATATCTTCTGGCATATATTCTGACATATCTTCTGGCATATCTTCTGGCATATCTTCTTGCATATCTTCTGGCATATCTATCTGGCATATCTTCTGGCATATTTTCTGGCATTCTATCTGGCAAATCTTCTGGCATTCTATCTGGCATATCTTATCTTCTGGCATATTATCTGGCATTCTATCTGGCATATCTTCTGGCATATATTCTGACATATCTTCTGGCATTCTATCTGGCATTCTATCTGGCATTCTATTTGGCATTCTATCTGGCATATCTTCTGGCATATCTTCTGACATTCTTTCTGACATTCTTTCTAACTTTCTTCTGCACATTCTTTGTCCCATATCTTCCTACATGAGGTCCGGCAGGGAACACTTGGCGTGGATACTCGCGGTTGAGGTCCGGCAGGGAACACTGGGCGTGGATGGTCGTGGTTGAGGTCCGGCAGGGAACACTGGGCGGGGATGGTCGTGGTTGAGGTCCGGCAGGGAACACTGGGCGTGGATGGTCGTGGTTGAGGTCCGGCAGGGAACACTGGGCGTGGATGGTCGTGGTTGAGGTCCGGCAGGGCACACTGACGTGGATGGTCGTGGTTGAGGTCCGGCAGGGCACACTGACATGGATCGCAGTGGAGCAGGAGGAGGACGAGGAGGACGAGGAGGACGAGGAGGACGACGAGGAGGAGGAGGAGAGGAGGAGGAGAGGAGGAGAGGAGGAGGAGAAGGCAACTGACATAAAATCTAACAACCCTCACCTGGCAGGTGGGGAAAAAAAAACACGATGAATGAACATTGTCAACCATCACCAACCAGCCTTCTGTAGGTAATGTCGGGATGACGGTCGTTGCTACTCTTCTAGCAATTGGTATTCACAGATATAGTTTCAGCTATCGCGTGTCGTAATCAATACTCAACAAATCATCAAGATCATCATGTTTAATCGTCAAACCAGCACCATACACTTCAAACGCAGCCGCAAACGCAAACAGCACAATCATTCGTTGCTTTTGTTCAAACACCATCGTATATACTTATATACGTTGTAATCCGATCAACAATGAGCCAGTGGAAGGCATATGTTGTTTAAATACATAATCTACTCTACCTAACGAATTAACTAGCAAACTAGCTCGCGAACAAACTCACAACAACTAACAAGCCAAAAAACTCAAAAAAACACAACACACACACAGAAACTTACCAACTAAACTCCATAAATGGAGGTTGCCCTAAGTCATGTGGGTACCAAATCATCCCATGTTCTTTTCCGATGTTTAAAGGATGTCCCATGAAAAGAACCATCAAAATCCATCCATTGTGCGGTACCCCCATGACAGGCCGGCCTTCTCTCAGGGCCTTCTGCAAGTCGCTCATCCCAAGGCCCAGGTGCGAAGTCGCCAGGCCTGGAGGTGATGTTTTACATCAACAGGGTCCAAGTTCGAAAACACTAGTGATCATAGTGATCATTTTTTTAAGAGTATCATGAATATGATCGAATCATCTAGGACTCTAGGATTCATATTGTGCAAAAAGTCTCTGGAACATGTTGTATGATGACTGTATGATAGTAATTTTGAGGGAGATGGCAGCAGATTGCCTGTGCTAATTTGAGTTCCGCTGCGCAAACGTCAAGCAAAAGTGCGTCGGAGATTTTACTACTCTTTGTATCTCAAAACATCCAATTGACAACCGACTGCTCAAAAATCTGGTTTGGATAAATTATCTCATAATTCATCCCATATACATCAGCTGTTGTATTTATTATTTCAGGTTATATAGTAAATTCACATAACCTATCGAGATATATGATATCATTATCCTTTGTCCAGACTACTAAGTCAATGATTATCAATCATTGATATCAAGTCTAGCTATACATTTATACAATATATAATTTCAATATCAATACGTATCAATATCAATATCAATATCAATATCAATATCAATATCAATATCATATATCAACATCAATATACATTTAATAATTACTGGTTGGTGGTTTCAACCCCTCTGAAAAAATGCTCGTCAGTTGGGATGATGACATTCCCAATATATGGAAAAATAAAATTCCTGTTCCAAACCACCAACCAAATAATTATGAATCACTATCATTTATCCCATACATCATTTGCCTTCCGGTCGGCAGCCCGGCAGCCCATCGATCCAACTGTGAGCACCTAAGGAGTCCAAGCCCTTTGAAAGCTCAGCGCGAAGCACATCTCTGGGCTGATTCGGGGCTGTCACCAAGATCTCATAGGGGTTCCTGAACTGAACGGATCGATCTGGCTGTCGCTTTTAACCAGGTAACTAGGTAAAGCCGAACTTGAAGTAACTAGCTGTAACCAGGTACTCTAAGCTTTGGATATCCTCAGATCTTCGGCAATCAAGGTTCGCTGATCCTTTCACACGCCAGAGTTTTTTGTCTCATATTGAAAACGGCAGACTTTCTGCAGCGAACATCTGCAGGCTTTGGTCCCACCGATGTCGCTTATCCCGACCACAAAGAAAGGGAGATCCTGGAACCAAAGTAAGCTTTGAACATATACCAAATACATCCAAATACTTAAGGATCTACCAAGCAAACAACCATTCAAACTAACCAACTGGACATAATGTTTCAGTCACACGGTTATAAATATGGCTTTGGATCATGACATATCACTTCATGATGGTAATAATCATAACCCAAGAAGAGTAAAACAACACATTCAATAAATTACCGTATATACATACATAAGTGAGCATAGTCAGAACAAGAACAGAATACATTCACTCCAGTAATATGTATATAATATTCATAAATAAATATATATAAATGTATGTATATATATATTGTATATGTATATATAACTATTATATATATACAATAATCATAGTTTAAGCAATTTATAATAAGGAAACAACAACAAAATCAGGGCTCACTCCTTTTGAAAACAACAAAAAACCAAGGCCCCAATTGGCCAAGCGTCACCAGCCCTGTCGACAGCTTGGCATCCTGGATCTTCCGTAAGGCCAACACCGCCGGTGAGTACAGCGGCATCATGGCAAAACGGTCCTGAGCCGTTGGCAGCTACGCTGTCTTTTCGGTGTAACAATGGTGTAATCATGGTCTAACCCAAGTTTGATTTGGAGAGTAGTATTACGTAGTGTTACCATGCTTCAAACATCGAAAAAATAAAAAACAACAACAACAACAACACTGTTGTGAGTTGTTTCTTCAGAGCAAAATGAGATGTAATTCGAGAAATGCACGATATCTGCAGGTATTTCTGTAAGTTGCGGGCTTTCAGAGACACAAGTATATCGGCCTCTTTTGCGAGGTTTATTGAAAGCCCCACACCATCTTTGCTGCCTGCCCTGCACAGTCTCAAGCAGCTCCAGCACGCAGCGCGCGCAACGCTGAGTGCTAGCACGCAAGTTCGTCACGCAGAGGGTTTTTACCACGAAGGTGCTGAACTTGCTTCTTACTTGGTGGTCGCCCTTTACTTATGGGACTTGCAAATAACTTATGGAACTTGCTGGACATATAGAACTTGCAAGTTGGACTTAGCATACTTATAAAAGGAACACTTTTAAATTGTAAACATAAGTTGCCTAAGTTGGACTTAGCTAACTTATAAGTAATATAAGTAAAATTAAGTTTTTCCAATCCACCAAAGACATATTTTTCTGTTTTTTCCTTCATATATTTTGCATGGACATATCACCAGAATCTATATGTATGTATGTGCGACGCATTGAGCCGCATCATTTTTTTTACAAAAGAAAATTCAAAACCAATGCATGTTAACACCAGAATCTATGTATATATATATATATGTGCGGCTCATTGAGCCGCAGCAACTACAAATAAGAAGACAGTTCAAATATTTGCGCACTTCAGACTTGACGGGTTGAATCGTTTGGCATTTTATGGTTTCTCCTTCACGGTTTCTCAGTTGCATGGTGTATCAGTTTCACTGCGCACTTGCAAAGATGTTGTGTGAAAAAAACAGTTTGTCATGCAAGTCCAATGTACCTGTGCGGCTCAATGAGCCGCTTCTGCAACCCCATTAATAAATCTCTAACACATTTAAAAAATCTAAAATGCCTGTCCAGCCTTCTGCATTCTCCTGCGGCCCATTGGGCCGCACAACAATCTACAGAGATAACGGTATCACTCACTATAAATTTTGAAAACCAAAAAGGACACCACAAATGGCATTCCTGGAGCCAAAAAGTGCACATCATTTTGATTCATATCCATCCCCATCTAGAACATATAATCATACAAGAAACCTGTCGACAATAAAACGTTTTGTGATGTCTTATGTTTGAATGGTCAATTTGAAGGACTTATCTGTATGAGGTGCCTGACATTGAGCCCCCTCCTTCCCAGAGAGTGGCAAAACCTCAGGCCATACAACTGGCGATCTTGGAAAATTTCTCAGATGTGTAGTGGATGTGTAGCCATGTGTAGCCATGTGTATGTGTAGCCATGTGTAGCCATGTGTAAGTATATTTTTGAAAAAACACATTAAAAAAATGGTTTGAGGCCATCAATCTTGAATCTTTCGTGTTTGTCTGTTTGAAGTGTGTATACATAAGTTCTAACATGTTGTAGCATCCATTTCACCAGGTAAGCCAAAAACTCAAAAGTAACATTGCGTGAAACCTATATGCATGGGCCATGGGCGGCTCAATGAGCCGCTCTTCCCACAATCCGAGACCCATATTCACATGTACCTGGGTGATATCTGTATGTTTATGTATCTACCTATATGTTTCTGTGTTATATTTGGTGCATATACTATAGTGAGATATATCATTCTATATATATATGTATATATATACATATATACATATATATATATATACATATATATATACATATATATATACATATATATACATATATATATATATACATATATATATACACATCCTCCAACCTTTAACCAAACAATCAAGAACACCTATATACCATACCATTTAGTGGCGGCTCAATGAGCCGCCCGCCTGAAAAATATTTTCCAAAATCGATATGTATATATATATATATATATATATACACATATATCATGTGTTTCAGGTTGTATACCTACACAAACGTTTTGCGCGGTTCATTGAACCGCTGAAGTCACCCAATGCCAACCATGTGCAGACAGTGCTCTTTCGTTTTTTTTATCGCAGCTGCTCACTGGTCGCTAGTCTCACATGCGGCTCAAAGAGCCGCACTTAAAGCAATGCTCAATCGCAAAGATGGAATGCCACACCATGATTTGTGGCTCAAATGCTTCATGATAGGCTGCACTTTCCAATAAAGCTCCTATGGTGTAGCCGTTTTTTTTTATCAATGAAACGTGCTTTAAAAAAAACAAAAAAAACACATATTTAAAAACATGAAAAAAGCTAAGTATGCTAAGTAATTTAGAAGTAATTTAAGTATTTTTTTGTTTTTTTGAAAACAACTTAAAAAACTTATAAATACATATATGTTTGGTTTGTAACTTATAAGTCCGCCAACTTCGCTTAAAAACTTACTGTACTTACCGTGCTTGCAACATGCTGCACCATGGTTGCAAGGAGGTTGCAAGGGGGGTTGCAAGTACTTGCAAGTGGCCTAAACGAAAAGCGACCACCAAGTAGTCAAAAAGCGACCGTATTCGAATGCAAGTTCGTGCCTTGTCTTCAAATTCCAATCCCTGTGCCAAACCTCAGGATCGAGAGTTCGAATGTCAGCGACCAGGGCTTTAAGCTTACCTCGATATTCGCGAGGGTAAGACTTAAGCAATTTCTTCGGGCTTCGCCGATAATCCCGGTCCATGCAAAATCTGCGCCTGTCCTCAGGCGTCGAGCCAGCAAGAGGATCGGCAAGGGCAGATTTTCGCCGAATTCCTTCAAAAATTCATTGCGCCTGTGCGCCGTCCAGTTCTTGCAGAAGACTCTGTCGGCCCGCGTGCGACAACGGTGGCCACCATGATCAGCATAATTAAACAAAAAACAGCCTTCGCGCTGTGCGAATCGCACGCTTCGGAAGACCATCCTGATGCATGATGCCGAAAATTTGATCGACATTGGTACGTGCACGAATTTCACTCGGTCCAATGTGGGTAGATGATTCTCTCCAATTCGGCACGTGAGCTTTCCAAAGCAACCGACCTTCAGGGTTGAATGACGCGCCGTACTCACACTCGCCTTGGACCTGAGTCTGCGTCAACTCGTTCAGGCACCCGCACTGCTTGCAGAACTCGATGCCTCCACGAGGAGCCCTCTTGTAGGCCGAGTCAAATTCAAAGGCCCACTCGTGCTTCCCACGGCACGTATCATCCATGAACGACTCGACATATTTGATATGAGGGTGGTGAACCGCCGACCAGCAGTCATGATCACCTTTCCACCTGACTTCGCCACAACTCGTCACGACTATGTTCACATCCGTATTCACCATGGGTGGCATTGCAAGGGCAGTTGATAGATCGAGCGGGAGGAAACTTATAATCAGAACTCCTCGAGCGAAAAGCTACGACGGAAGAGATAAACATGCTTTCACTGATGATCGACGGCCGCTGGATCAACACATGCATGAAACCGAGACTCTTTCCCAAGAATGCTTTCGTGTATAAATGCATTTAACATCATTTAACTAGGTCCGAAAAAAGCATCCATACAAATTTTAGACCGTAAAGGGCTAGTAAATTGCAAGTTCGAAACGCATTGGGTTTTATTATCCTATTCATACCTCGGTGCATTTACTTTTCCGTGGAAAAAAACATCCGGTAACGTGCGAATATCTGCCTGATGTCCGGATGCATTTTGCGCTTCCCGAAAAAAGTATCTGGGGTTTCCCCGTTTCCTCCAAAAGGGTAAATTCTTTCAGGGTGTTGAAAAAATCAACGCAACTAGGAGGTACTCGTGTGGCCCTCATGAATGTGATGAGTATCTCATGATATCGCATGCTGATCGTCACTCCAATGCATTTTTCCTATTCCAATAAAAGCATCCACTATCTAAATCAAGACAAACATATCTACTAGGATGCACACCGGGAAAAATGCATTGGAGTGAGTGCTGAGCACGCGAGTGCTGGCACGCGAGTGCTGAGTGCCAGCACGCGAGTGAGGAAACAGCTAAGGCTGTTTCACCTGGGGTCACCGGGGGTTTATTATAAACTACAAATGTTCCCAGAACATTTCACCAAAAGTGATCGTTTTCTCAGGTATTTTTTTGGCAATTTCCCATTGATCATTGGGTCTTTTGGATTCTTTTGGCTCCACCCCAACCCCAACGATCCCAACGGTCCCATCTCGCGCCAGCGTCTGCCGTGATGTGGAGCGAGGGCGCGGCCGAGAGCACGGGCCAAACGAAGAGCAACACCAGCAGAATGGCGCTGAGCGGCGCTCGTTCCACCACACCTGGACGGCACAGCTGTAAGACTCGGTACGATTAGCCGATTAGCCTCTGGTAATTTGTTACGGTAAGCCATGGCCTAGTTATAGATGAATTTATGATTATCTATGAAAAATGGTGATTTTCCATAGCTATGTGAAATTGAGGGAGGGTAGAAGTCCAAGGATTTCCGCAGTGACAGAAAAAAAACATGGTTCCATCTGATCTCAATGTAGGTCAATGTACTAGCCCCGCGTGCCATGGTTAAAAGATTTTTCAGCTACTCACGCTACCTTTAAGAATATGATTCAGGTAAGGAAACATGGTTGCCCCAGTTGCCCCTTGTCTTTTATCACTTGACCACTGGCGTCTTAGACAAGGCACGCATGATGAGCAACCAATTGGTGTTGTCGGCCTTTGCGGGGCAATGGATCACTGGGCCATCTCCACCACTTTATTGGCTCATTTAAGACTGGGAAAACCAGGTGGGGCTGAGGCATCTCCTCATTTCTTGCGACAAACTAATTACGAGTACTTTCTATAGGACCTCCAGTATCCTCGATTCACAGAGAAATATATCGATTTCTTTCTCCATCACAAACCTATTCAGATTCGTATGTGGCCATGTCCCACTTGGGTTTACCCAAAAATAGGGTACCCAAAAATCCCGTCATTTGCTACCATTTTCCCCATTCATACAGCCATTGAGTAAATCAAATTTCAGGACGAAACCAAAGGAACATGATACTTGTCTGGAAGCCCCATTTCTATTGATCGAATCCCTTTGAACATCTAAAAAAAACGTCTGTTTTGCTGGTGACATCTCAATTTTTGAAGGCTATAATTAGTGTTTTTTTCCGGGGTTCCACCTTCCGTGGCAGCTTTTATGCTGATTCTTGCTGGTTGATAAGCCCTTATATAAGGCACCCTTAATATGATATTCTTAACTTATAATGCCCAAATGCTCCATGCATGGTATTTACCAAATAGGGACAAAAATCACACCAACAACTCTGCTTGGTAGTATACCTACCCCCCTGAAAAATATGAGTTCGTCAGTTGGGATGATGACATTCCCAATATATGGAAACATAAAGTTCATGTTCCAAACCACCAACCAGAATAGAATGTCAATAAGCCCATTAAAAAAAAAACACTGGTGGTCAATAAGTCATTAATTAATAATCATGCCATTGGCCGGTGACCCTTGGGGTATGAATGGTGGAATCCCCACCAGGGGGGGCCTCATCCCAGAAAGTAAGTGGCTAATAACATATATATATATATATATCTCTGGGGTATATTTCCATATGACATAACTGGGCCAAGATCTCACTTCCCCCCAGGTGCAATATACGTTAAACACACAGCCAGAAAACATGGTAGGGATGAAACATGATGTTTTACCACATATCTGGAACCAGTTTTCAGATGTTAAAAATATTGGGGATGGGATTTTTTCAATGAACTATCCATATCAAACATGTGGGTTACGGTTATGGTTCATCCCTGGGGTACCCCATTCCATACCAACTGGGATGATCATCCCATATCCCAGTTTTCACCAGTTTTAAACCCCATTGATTAACTAAAATCCCCATGATATCCCCATTATATCAATCAATATCATACTGATATCATCATAAATCCCAGTTGGTTGGTGATATCCCCATTCACCCATCATTTCCCAACCTGGGGCCCTGGGACATGCTGCAGCTTGGGTCACCCCCACGCTCTTTGGCCCCGGTCTTTGGCGCTCGTCCTCCTCCTCCGCGCCATCGTCCAGCTGCACGTCGCCCCACCAGCTGGGCAGGAAGGAGCGGCCGACGAACCTCGAAGCGGAAGAACCATGGGACATATTGTTGATATACAGAAAGTTAATATGAGATATGTAAAGGACATATTATATACATATCATCTATATCTATCTATCTATCTATCTATCCATCTGTCTATCTATCTATCTATCTATCTATCTATATAATATATGAATATATAGATATATTATTATATTTTATATTAAATATTGTATAATCACCACCCTTTTAAGGAGGGGGGACGCTCAAAATGCAAGCTTGCAATAAGACGTTGTTTTGGGGGGGCGGGACCTATGAAAATGTATGCTTACATTTTTTGGTTCATCGTCTTTATTGCAAGATTGCATTTTGATAGGTTCGTAGATTGCAATTATGTACCCCCACGTTTTACCGACTTGCAATTTTTTCCAGGGATGCGTCCAATATTGCAAGTTGCATTTTACGGAAACAAATAAATGTAAGAACATGGAAAAAATGCAAGAATAATAGTCTGGAGGTCTGCAAATAGCTGCAGAATTGCATAAAATCATAATTGCAATCTGTATCCCTAGAGGGCCTCAATTGCCTGTTATTTTCAATGAATTCTACACTTTTTCCATCATTTACACATGTAATATAGATTTATAGAAGGTATATTATTCCTTGCAAATTATTGGAAAATCCTTGAAATTCAATAAATGTAAAAATAGATGTTGGAGGTCTTCAAATTTGCCTCCTGCCAATGAGAAATTAATTCAGCACAGGTGTAAAAATCATGTAATCATCAATCATCATATGCCTGAGGTCCATATTTACTTGCAGAAACAGTTCAAAAAAAACATAGAAGATAAAATCAAGATAAATACATGTAACCATCCTACACCTAAGGTCCATATTTACTTGCAGAAACAGCTTAAAATAGATGAGAACATCAAGATAATCCCGTGTAACCATCCTACACCTAAGGTCCACATTTACTTGCAGAAACACTTCAAAGTAGATGATAAAAACAAGATAAAACCATGTAACCATCCTACACCTAAGGTGCAAATTTACTTGCAGAAACAGCTCAAAATAGATGAGAACATCAAGATAAAACCATGTAACAATCCTACACCTAAGGTCCATATTTACTTGCAGAAACAGCTTAAAATAGATGAGAACATCAAGATAAACCCATGTAACCATCCTAGACCTAAGGTCCACATTTACTTGCAGAAACAGGTTCACAACAGTCCCCTCCAAAAACTTGACAGAATAAACGAGACGGGAAGACAATACAGAAGCATCACATAGGAGGTAAGGAACCCGAAAGATGTAAGAGAGGAAGGGAAGCAAAGAATTTCGGGATCTTTGAAAAGGTCCTGAGGATATGTCGCAGAAAGGTGCAAAAACTAGACGACGGTTGGCCCGAGAGCGAAAAAGATGTTTTTCAAGCAGCTCTGAGGATGGTAGTCGTAAAAGATAGTCGGTGAATAGTTGGTGAATTTTATATGAACTATGGAAAGATATGGTGTGAAAAAGTAAGATTGATCAAGAAGAGAATATTTGGTAAAGGGCATCAGATGACATGTGTCTTGCAACCACAGAGAGAAAGAGGGGGAAGAGATAAAGAGAGAGAGAGAGAGGTCAGACGCATTTCCACACAAAGACCTTTGAGATACAAAAGAAGCTCGGCACCATGATGCCGTGGATGACCTTAGTTGCAAACAAAGGTGGGCAAACATAGTCGCAATGGAAATGCTACAAAATGCAAAAGTACACAAACAAAGGCTCCGTACCATGGTATCCAAAAGAATCTAGAACTCCGTGCAAGAATGCTGTGAATGAATCCACAATAGCAAGTTCGATATCATGATGGCAAGGATGACACCTGTTTCACTGCATTTCTCCGATGCCCCTACAGGATGGAAAAAAATCTTTACAGACAAACAACAGTTGGCTACTGGTTTTGCATGTTCGTCACGAACAGTCTCTCCAGACGAACAGTGCTACAGATTAATTTGCGCCAGTTGCACTCAGTTCCATGTGCCACTCGGTACGCAAGCCTTCCAGCTCCCACAAGCTGCTTCCAGCAAAGGTCGGTACCATGATGCTGCAGATGTGGCATGTTTGCCGCTTTTACTACTGAAGGCAGAACACCATCTTGCATCATCTCGCAATGCCTCTGCAACCGAATTTCCACGGCATCGGACGACGCGGATGACGCGGTCGCGTGCTCCATTCGCACAGACATTCCCGTCAGCAAATGAAACAGCGACCACAAAACGTCCACAAACGTCACGGGTGCGTGACTTCAACCAAACATTTTGCATTCAGAAATTCCGAGACATGCATATCTGTTCGCTTGATTTCAAAACAATGCCATGACATGCTTGATTTCAAAACAAAATTGAACGGTACAATATTGAACGGTACAATGATTCCCGTAGTATTTTTTTGTCCACTGCTCATGCATTTCAATGAAAACATCACATATATTTTTTTGTGCTATACATCACATAGATCCACTGCATCGTAAACAAACACTGACATTGTCACAATGCAATTCTCGAGCTCTCACGGACAGCCCCTACAGAAACCTCGAGAAGTGCAAGAAATGTTAAAGATACCTGTTGGCCAATCGTCACTTGTTTCTCGAACATTCAGCGTACATATAAGAATATGGATGTTCACTCCGTGCACAATGCATCTTGTCTCTGCGTTCACGTCTGAGCCCAGGAAAGAGATAAAGAGGTAAACTATGCTTGTCGCTGCAGAGTTGCACAATCCACTGCAAAGCATTTGCTCTCTGACTTCCAAACTGAGAACACCACTCATGAGTTTGACATGGCAAAGAACCACTGTCGCAGAGACCTGCAAACTGAAGGCTGAACGCATCAACAAAAAACTAGTTTAACAAAGCTCGGTAACAAAAAACTCAGCAGCTCGGCAACACCATCTTGCATCATCTCGCAATGCCTCTGCATCCGAATTTCCACAGCATCGGACGACGCGGATGACGCTGTCCCATGCTCCATTCGCACAGACGTTCCCGTCAGCAAATGAAACAGCGACCACAAAACGTCCACAAACGTCACGGGTGCGTGACTTCAAACAAACATTTTGCATTCAGAAATTCCGAGACATGCATATCTATTCGCTTGATTTCAAAACAATGCCATGACATGCTTGATTTCAAAACAAAATTGAACGGTACAATATTGAACGGTACAATGATTCCCGTAGTATTTTTTTGTCCACTGCTCATGCATTTCAATGAAAACATCACATATATTTTTTTTGTGCTATACATCACATAGATCCACTGCATCGTAAACAAACACTGACATTGTCACAATGCAATTCTCGAGCTCTCACGGACAGCCCCTACAGAAACCTCGAGAAGTGCAAGAAATGTTACAGATACCCGTTTGCCAATCGTCACTTGTTTCACGAACATTCAGCGTACATATAAGAATATGGATGTTCACTCCGTGCACAATGCATCTTGTCTCTACGTTCACGTCTGAGCCCAGGAAAGAGATAAAGAGGTAAACTATGCTTGTCGCTGCAGAGTTGCACAACCCACTGCAAAGCATTTGCTCTCTGACTTCCAAACTGAGAACACCACTCATGAGTTTGACATGACAAAGAACCACTGTCGCAGAGACCTGCAAACTGAAGGCTGAACGCATCAACAAAAAACTAGTTTAACAAAGCTCGGCAACACCATCTGGAATCATCTCGCAATGCCTTGTTTCATCTTGCATCATCCTGGACTTCCAAACTGAGAACACAATTCGTGAGTTTGACACTTGGGATGGGCATCATTGTCGAACACCATGATGCTGTAAATTACATGCATCACACCGTTCTCAAAGGAAACATCCACAAAGGTACAACGAACCCAACAGCTTGGTAACTTCTACAACTTCATGCACTAACCTGCTACACACTCGCACAATTCAATGCAAAGAATGTGTTCTTCGAAGCCTGAGACCGCGACTCCTGCGTTTGACAAGCAAACATCATTGTCGCATAGACATGCAAACTGAACAGTGAAGCTCACTATGAACATATCAATTCCCACACAAATTACCACACCAAACGAACCGAGCTCCGCACGTCCTAGCACGGATGCACTAGCAAGCATTTTCACCCTCAATCTCTAACAGTTCCATGTCGTGCGGTGAAAGTACACACAAAAACTTTTACACACAAACGCTTTCACACACAAACGCTTTTACACACAGACGCTTTTACACACAGACGCTTTTACACGCAGATGCTTTTTACACACGCACACACACACTTTCACACACAAACGCTTTTACACACAGACGCTTTTACACACAGACGCTTTTTACACACAGACGCTTTTACACACAAAAGCTCTTACACACAAAGGCTTTTACACACAGACGGTTTTACACACAGACGCTTCTACACGCAGACGCTTTTACACGCAGATGCGTTTTACACACGCACACACGCTTTCACACACAAACGCTTTTACACACAGACGCGTTGACACACAAACGCTTTTACACACAGACGCTTTTACACGCAGATGCTTTTTACACACGCACACACGCTTTCACACACAAACGCTTTTACACACAGACGCTTTTACACACAGACACTTGTACAGAAACGAAAGCGTCCATCGCAATTTTTCCTCAGTTTTTGACGTCTAACGTCCATTTCGTGCGAAAGGGTTACGATTGACCAAGCAAAATCGCAATTTTTCCTCAGTTTTTGACGTCCAACGTCCATTTCGTGCGAAAGGGTTACGATTGACCAAGTAAAATCGCAATTTTTCCTCAGTTTTTGACGTCCAACGTCCATTTCGTGCGAAAGGGTTACGATTGACCAAGTAAAATCGTAATTTTTCCTCAGTTTTTGACGTCCAACGTCCATTTCGTGCGTAAGGGTTGCGATTGAATCAGTAAAGTCACAATTTTTCCTCAGTTTTTGACGTCCAAGGTCCATTTCGTGCGTAAGGGTTGCGATTGACAACTCAAAGTCGCAATTTTTCCTGAGTTTTTGACGTCCAACGTCCATTTCGTGCGAAAGGGTTGCGCGCGACGCTTCAAAGTCGCAATTTTTCCTGAGTTTGTGACGTCCAACGTCCATTTCGTGCGAAAGGGTTGCGCGCGACGCTTCAAAGTCGCAATTTTTCATCAGTTTTTGACGTCTAACGTCCATTTCGTGCGAAAGGGTTGCGCGGGACGCTTCAAAGTCGCAATTTTTCATCAGTTTTTGACGTCCAACGTCCATTTCGTGCGAAAGGGTTGCCGGGGACGCTTCAAAATCGCAATTTTACCTAGGTTTTGGACGTCCAACGTCCATTTCGTGCGAAAGGGTTGCGTTTCGTGGCGCTCCGGCGGCACCGCCCCCGCCTTAAGAGAGAATAGAAGAAGAGCGAGAGAAATCTGCAGATGTGAAGGTGTGAAGATGTAGATCGGCAGATGTGAGGGTGTGAAGATCTAGATCTGCAGATGTGAAGGTGTGAAGATCTAGATCTGCAGGTGTGAAGGTGTGAAGATCTAGATCTGCAGGTGTGAGGGTGTGAAGATCTAGATCTGCAGGTGTGAAGGTGTGAAGATCTATATCTGCAGGTGTGAAGGTCTGAAGATGTAGATCAGCAGATGTGAAGGTGTGAAGATGTAGAATCTGCAGGTGTGAGGGTGTGGAAGATCTAGTCTGGCATGTGTGAGGGTGGAAATCGAACTGCCGGTGTGAGGGTGTGAAGATCTAGAATCTGAGTTGTTGAGGTGTGAAGATTCTAGATCTGCAGGTGTGAAGTGTGAAGATCTAGATCTGCAGGTGTGGGAAGGTTTGAAAGATGTATATCAGCAGAAATGTGAAGGTTTGAAGAATTGTTATCAGCAGATGGTGAAGGTGTGAAGAAGGTAAGTATATGGGCTGATTTTTTAATACGAAGAACCCTTCACCAGCGTCCTCTCGGAAAAAGGTGAAAATATCGGATCGGTATGCTACTGGATTTTGGAAAAGGGAAAATGTAGGTTGGAGAGTAATCCTGTTTGACTGTAAGCTTCAACCCCTGCAGAACCAGGAAATGCATGGTAGATCCATCATTTCACTGCTTTGCAGTGTATATAAGAAAACCACTTGTAAATGGATGCTTACTTGAAATTGAGGCAAAGAATCTGGCTTTGCTTTCCACAGCCAAGTCATATAAAAAAAAAGTGAGCCATTTCTGCACCTAAATGATCTCAAATATATCTCAAATGTACCTCAAATGGACCTCAAATGTACCCCATCAAATTTCAAAGTGAATAAGGACCTTAGATGTAGGATGGTTACATGGATTTATCTTGGTTTTATCATCTACTTTGAGCTGTTTCTGCAAGGAAATATGGACCTTTGGTGTAGGTTGATTGCAAACATCTGCAAACTTCTTGGAGACTGTTTTCGGACAATTCGTCAGACATTTTACAATTGTTACCTCCCTCCCCCCCCCTTCCATAATGTCCGGAGGGGGTAGGTTCGGGGGGGGTACGGGGTGACCGGTCTCTTACGTGCTTTTATTTTTCATCCCCCCCTCTCTAAATGTAAAAACTTTAGGCTTCGGCTTCTGACGTTGGGGGGGTCCACGCTTGCAATTAGCATGACCCCTGCGGTCAAATTCCGAGGGGGCAAAATTGCAATCTACATTTTTGGAACGCCCCCCTGCTTGCAATTAGCCTAAAGGGGTGGTGATATTATATATTACATTGCATACAGTATATTATATATACAAACATGGGATGTTTGAACACATGCAGGCGACCACACAAATCATACATTGATGGGTACTCGTACAGCTGGCATCCAGGGAACACAGGACCGAAGGCCAGGAAAACAGCTGGAAGAAATACCTCAGTTGTCGAAGTGCGTGCTGCTGGGAAAGCCCAAGGTCCCTGCTGGTAAAAGGTCCCCATGTCCCAGTCAGGTCCCAGTCTTTGTTGGTTGTCTGCCAACTGTATATCCTCAAGGCTGACAACCCAATACAGTATACCATTGTGTATACCATGGTTTGTGTGAGTCTGTGGGTCTGCAATTTTAGCACAAACCCATCCAGAGATGGAGCTTGAGTTCAGCACTCCGCAAATTCCACGAGTTTGACTTCGTGACGACTTTGACTTCCCAAATTTCCAAAAGACATCAGGGACACCGTCTTTGCCCATGTAAACTTGCTGTTTTATTCAGAGGCACAACATTCGTGGCCACACAGGCCAAAACGGCAAAGCCCAAGGCGATGCAAGTGCCTTGGAGGTTTCTCTCAGGCAATAGAATACCTGCCGCTGGGAGGATGTTGGTGCGTGAAAGCGGAACTGGCAACAAAAAATAAATTTGGGAAGCTCGCCCCAAAAATGTTAGGAAGATTGCTACCTATGTAATTATATATAATTCTATATGTATACATATATATATATATATATATATAATACTTATCCATTTATGCCGGGAAGAAATACCGTGGTTTTCAACTTCTATGTGCATTTGTAGGTTCACCGATCCCGATCATTGGTTGGTATTTTTCATGCACTATTCGTAGTTATATAGATAATATAGATGTGTATCAATCATCAATATTAATGAATAACCCCCTCTGTGTTGCTGAAGAAATCACTAACTCTGGCTCTTGACCAACTTCGCTAGTAGCTAGATTAATATATATATATTATACTTATATGATTGACACCTCATTTGTGTTGTCTGAGGACAATGTACCCCATTCCATCCATTGGTGAATCACTATGAATACCCAATTTCAGACACGCCAAACTATCATCGTGTTGGTTATATATCCATTAGATATCCACTATACTTATACATACATGTGTATATATATATATATACACATTATACATATATACATTTATATTTTATGTATGATACATAATTGTATATATATATGACACATATAATATGTGTGTATATATAATTATGTATATATATATATGTATATATATATATATAACTATGTATGATACATATCCGTTTTGTAATGTCTCCCATTCTATCCCCGTTCCATCCACTAATTCCAACCTGCGAAGAATGCGATGGCCACCAGGAGCCCGCTGATGGAAATGGTGCGACAGGTGCAGGCCTCCCATCAACGATGAAAGGTCGAGGAGGACCAAAACTGTGGATTAATGGTATTGGTGGATCAATGAATAAATTTATTGGTTAATCCAGTAATCATCAATAGTATCCCTTGATCGATTAATGGAGTAATTAATGGATTAATGATGAGTGGTGGAAACTAATGATGATTAGTGAATGGATAATATGGTTAACGATGATGTTAGTAATGATGTTAGCCATTTAGTAATCATGTCATATTAAAAAGTCATGATTTCAATGCGATTGAATGGATATGAATATGGAGTAATGGGATACATGGGATTGATTAATGATGATTATACAGTAATGGATACTAATGATGATTAATGTGGATTGATAGGTTCTTAAAAAAATAGTAGGATTAATGATTATTAATGAATGGAACATCATTGGTTCCATACCCCGCGTTGATTTATGGTTGGCTAAAATAGTCTTATCCACCGTTCAAATTAAACACCCTTATGCTTAATGGTCCCAGTCATTTGTGATTTCCTCCTCAACCAAAAAACATGGTGGCTCTGGCTCTGATGGGATTATAATGGATTATATATATATATATATATGCATGCAGTACATAATGAATATACATTCTATATCCAACATTATCCAACTAGATCATATCAAATCCAATCACATCCAATCAAACATATGAAAACATCACCTCATTTTTCTTGGTTAAGCCCGCTTCCATGCCTTGATAATGTCAACATTCTCCTGCAAGGTGAATTTGTCGTGATGATTCTCACTGAAGCCTCAGGGCAAATTGATGGGTCGGTGGCTTATATAGAGCTACCAGGCTGAGTTTACCATTCGGAGATAGGAGTCTGGAGATTACCATCCAAGTTGAAACCTGAGTTGTGATAAAACTACAGCTGCAGTCTTTGAATACAATACTCCTGGGAAACAGCAAACAAGCACCAAATGGGGCTGTCAAGGTCGTAAACAGTGTGTTCTATCATGCATGGCCGAAATGGCCGTCATGGCCAAAGTCGTCGACACAGCATCTTCCGTCACAAATCCGCC